AACAGCGCTTGCAGTAGCGGGCTCTGGAACAGCGCTTGCAGTAGCGGGCTCTGGAACAGCGCTTGCAGTAGCGGGCTCTGGAACAGCGCTTGCAGTAGCGGGCTCTGGAACAGCGCTTGCAGTAGCGGGCTCTGGAACAGCGCTTGCAGTAGCGGGCTCTGGAACAGCGCTTGCAGTAGCGGGCTCTGGAACAGCGCTTGCAGTAGCGGGCTCTGGAACAGCGCTTGCAGTAGCGGGCTCTGGAACAGCGCTTGCAGTAGCGGGCTCTGGAACAGCGCTTGCAGTAGCGGGCTCTGGAACAGCGCTTGACGAAGGACGGGAGGCTCCCCTCCCTTCTCTTTCTCCTAGGTCGGGAAGCAGAGACCACAGCCGGAACTGAGACGGGTTGGGGAAGCACAGCGGGAACCGTGTCGGGCGAAGGAGGGTCTTTCTCTGGCAGGATTGACTCCGTCGCCGAGGACTCTGAAGGAGAGTCCCACGAGGACCGTTTCCCTCGAAGACCGAAGGGGGTAGATGGAGTGCCAGGAGTCGTGGGGGAACCAGCCTGGTCCCTAAGCGTCGCGACGCCTATCATTCGACCCTCGGGAATGATCGGTAGGCAGGCAGAAGGTGAAGACCTCGAGGATGCCGCCTCGGACTCCTCCCGGGAGAAATGGTCATACAGTCGAGAGAAGTTTGACAAGATCCACTCACCCTCGGGTGAGTAAGGAAGGGTGACACTCTTCTTGTTGAGGGGGTAAGACAACCAGACTTCAATGGGGTCCGGACGATGCTTGGCAGAGAAGGACAAACGGTCTGCTGGGTTCTTCTTTGGTCGGTTCATTCTGTCATGAGGTTGGAGGAACGAACCCAAGCGCAGACAGCAAATAACTCAAAACGGGGTTTATTGATGACAAAACAGAAAACAAAACCTACGATGGGGCAAAACAAGACAGGTTAAACTAATAAAACACCTTTACAAAACAAGACGGTCAACAGGTACTCACAGCTTGAAACGATAGACAAGATTCACAGAAAGTTTGACAAAGATCTTGACACAGTTTTGACAATGAACCGACAAAGGACAGCAAACACAAGGGGATAATATAGGGAGACACTAATGACACGAACAGGTGAAACTGACTAGACAATAATGACACGAACAGGTGAAACTGACTAGACAATAATGACAAGAAGAGGATAACAAGGGGGCGGGGTTACGTAACGAGACAACACAAGCACATGGTCCAAACAACAGGCCATGCGCTTGTACACAAAACATGGTTCTGCCATGATCCTGCCACAAGCCTAGGAAAATCAAGAGCATGATGGCAGAATCATGACAATTTCTTAGTTTCTGCATGTGCTAATGGGGGATATTGTTAAGTCTTGAAACAGGTTTGTGTTGCCTGACTTTGATGGCACGTATCTTCAGCACAGTTTGCAGTGCAGGCTGCAATATTAATATTACATGTTTTGTCTCGAAACGCATATTTGACAGTAGACAGTAAATCTGCATCCTAACTCAAGCTAATACTACTATGTTAAATTTATGTTCAATAACAAAAACAGTAACATCTGTTAAAAAAAATGTAACTACCACATTTTTATTTGGTAAAATGTAGTATTCTGAGTTTTATTAAAATGAACCTATGGTCATCCAGTATCAAGCATTTAGATCATGATAACCACAGATAAAGCCAGGCATAGCCTATAGCACCTCACTATCATGGCAAAATGTAACTTTATGGTTTATAGCCTAAATACATTATTAAATACTGTAATTATATTCCATTAGTCATTTAAAACATTGTCTACATTAATAATATAATACAATTCAATATGTATATCCTACATTTCATGGTGCAGTTAATATTACTAGGCTAACCTTACAGTAAATCCATGGTAAATGGATTCAGTATCAATTCATATTCTGACTGTATCAGAGTGTTTCTCAGCACTGTTTCATCTGCCTTTAAACTTGTTTAAATCACTGAGACATTTGTGTTCTTCGCTTTTTCAATCGCTTCTCACTGGATCTCGTGAGCAAGACGATCAGAGTAAACGCGTCTGTCTCGTGAGCTCGCGCTGCGCTGCCGTTTGGACTTTGAGCCGAGCGGATAAACAGTCCGTGAGGCGCGCGTGGTTCAAATGAGTTTCGTTCCGCTTTTGGCACATAAACATTATCGACCATTTATCGAACTCTTGATATCGTTTTATCGAGAAAAAATTATATCACGATAATTATCGTTATCGTTTTATCGCCCAGCCCTAGCGCTGGCACGTGCCACCTCGCTAACAGATATTTGTAGAGCTGCAGGCTGGGGACACCAAACACTTTCGCTAGGTTCTATAGCCTACATGTAGAGCCGGTTTCCTCCTGTATTCTCACCTCAAACGGGTAAAAACATCGAGAGGCTCGTCTCTTGTCGGCTTGCTGCGCCTACAGTTGCGTTCATGTCTCCAGAGTGAAAAACCTGTTGAGTCCTCCGTCACCCTCGGCAGCCGGACGTGGCGGAGCGTCTGGCGCCAGGCCTATATCCCGCTGAATCCTTGAGAACCAGGTCTAGACTGGGTGCCATATGTGCGACCCTGCAGGGATCCCATATGTTGCTTTTTTCCACGGTTGCTCCTAAACCGAAGCCTGTGTCTTTTCCTTGGGAGAACCCATTTCTTAGGAGATTGCTGTCACACCTAGTAATTCCATATGCAAACAACCCCACGAGGTTAGTCCATATGTTATCTCCACATGTCTCCTTCGGGGAAGGATGTGGCTTCCTCATTCTTCCTTTTCCAATGGAAAGGACACGCTTTTCCCGTGTTATCCAATAGTCTCACTGAGTCAGAACAGCAGTGATGAACTTCTCTGTGTAAGCCCTGTCCAATCAGGTAAGAGCGAGTAGGAGGTTTACACTGGGCGCTGGATGGGGTCAGCAGCTGTGGCACTTCGGTAGGGGATTCCTATTTGTCGGTCACCGACGTGACGTCGAGAGTGACTGACTGAAAGGTCCCGAACATCATGTCCCGTCGCCATGTCATATATATATATATATAAATATATATATATATAAAAATTTGGTGCTGGAAAATTACTTTGTGTAAATCAGCCCTTGACTTTTACAAGGTAAGACAAAATAGAGACAGTGCAAGACAGTTCTCAAATTTAATTTTGTAGACTGATACAGCCTAAATAATATACTGACGATCAGTTGTAAATTTAATAGGTTTATTTAATAATAACAATATTAGCAAGTGTCAGTTGTGCAAGTTTATACCTCTTCCACTTAATTCAATAAATAACCTCTGTTCTATCTCAGACTTAAAGCTAAATGCTTATAAGACTGAAATCTTAGAATCCTTTGTGTATTAGTATAAAATGAGAGACAATTTATGTGCTGTTTACAGTGGATACGTTTTTAAGGGTTCTTGGGATACCATTCAAACCCTTTTAAAAAGTGTATAGTATATTTTAATATATTTAAGAAGAACTTAACACTTAAGTGTGAAATTAATGTAATGTTTTTGGACATTTAAGTGGCTTTCGCAAGGGTAGTTATAGGAACTAACCATTTCCCTAGAACTAAAAAATAACACACTACAGTTTATTATTTACAATATTTATTTATAATTATTATTAAGAACTTTTACATGTAGTATGTAGCTTTAGTATGTTAGTCAATACATCAAAATAAGTGTACTTCTTTAAAACACAACAAGATTATTAAAACATAGATAATTATTTTGACATTACATACTTTTTAAAGCTGCAGTAGGGAGTTTTGAGAAAACGTTGACTTAGCCTGAAAATTTGAACAAGCACAACTTACAGGTCCCACCCCCTTGCTCTCTGCTGCGCTACAGCCCTCCCTCCACAGCTCGTCCTCCACAGCGGAGCCTGTCGTGAACGCGCAGGCTAGTAAACAGGGCCACCCATAACGGCGGATAAAAAGTTATATGGCACATTCACTAATAGGGACTAAACGTCAACAATATGCTTTACATTGACTATGGCCTGCCCATACTTTGACTACAAACTTGGTCCTCAAATCATTATGTATTTTCCAATAGCCTACATGTAACTTTATAACGTTGCACTCTTTCTATAAGTTATAAATAGCTAGTAAGATAAAGTTAATATATCGGTAACTAACGTTACAGTATGTAAGTAATTATTCTAGCGATATATAATGCTAGATAAGGTGTGCTAGTACATTATTTCAGCAACATGACAAGCCAGTGAATTAGCAGGTTTCAATTGTTGCTTAGCAGAGTGCGTGACATTTTATCTACATGTTATGCGGCTAGAGTTTTGACACCGAGTCAATGGGCTCTGTGTAATTCTTTCTTTTTCGCTTGTTTATCATCATCAGTCTTTTTCCTTTTAATTCTTTGTTTTATGAGCAGGTGTCACTCGAGAATTGGCAGTTTAGGTTGTTTCTCCGTCATAAGCACAGCTGCAGCACGCCGGCAATCTTGAGTTTGAACGACGGCTCGCGCAACGCGCTGTGCAAGAGAGGGGTGTGATCAGCGGTACACGAGCATGATTGACAGTGCTAAGACATTCCTCCTGGCTCTGATTGGTTGTTTCTGACCGGGAGCGTGTATTTCTTGCAAATGGCAATAGGACCACTGGGAGGAGCCAGAGGAGCTTGATTTTTACACAGATTATCTGTCTCATATTCTACTGTCAGGACATAATGACAGTTTTAGCAAATACATGTTTTCAAAAGTTACCTACAGGAGCTTTAAGTGTGGTAAGAAACAGTCATAAAAGTGTTCTCTCTTTAAGTAGGCTACATTTTATTACTTTTTTACACTATATCCGCAAGTACAGTTTTTTTAAATGTAATTTTTTTAAGATTTGAAGTGCATATTCAATAAAATTAAGCACACTTTTTTTCACAAGGGCAGCTGCACATTTAGCAGAAACAGCACACATGCTCCCGCACACACACACACACACACACACAAGTAAACGTGCAGCGGGATTAATCACAGAAGACGACACACAGATGGAGAGACTGAAGACCAACGCAGAGGCAGAGAGCGAGGAGGATGGGGAGGGTGGGAGATGAGAAAAGAAGGCTGAGTGGAGGCAAAACAGAGGACGTATCAGAGACACAGGAAGACTAAAGCTTACAGAAAGCTGGATGTCTGATGTTTAACTGAGGAATATGCAGAAGGCGGGAAGGACAACGTGTGAAAGAAAATCTGGCAGTTAGAGGTGCAAATCACTGCAGCAAACGTGCTTGCATCTTTAGCGTCGGAGTGCTGGGCTCTGGGGAGCGGGGAAGGGCTCTTCATAGAGGAGCATGACAGCCTGGCTCGGTGGTGTTGCTGCAGCGGGATGGACCGAGACTCATTCATTTTAGGAGGAAATACATAGGCCATTGCAGCTCTCATCGTCCACTATGCGCAGGGATCGAGAGCAAGCACATTGCGTGCCATCGTCAACAACACAGCAGAACTCTTCGTTCCCAGAGCGACAGCACATCTAGCATTGATAACATTAGCCCGGGCAATAGCCAATATATTAGGTAGCACTTGACTTTATCTGGGTTAAATTTTAGTTTTAGTCAAAGCTACAAAAACAGCAGTAGTTCATTTGTTGAGGTCCTTCATGCACTTTATCAAACAAGGACCTTCTGCTCTGATATAGATTTAGCTGTTTTTCCTCTTAACGATAATTTCATTTTTGACAGTAGCAGTTCTCAGGTTTAAGTATAATGTTTGCATATAATTTGGTAGAAGATGGGCGGTTTGTAGTTGTTGTTAGAGTTTAATGAAGTTTGTGGTTGGTATGGTGAGGAGAGCAGATGCTCTAACTGGATTGGCTGATGAAGGCCTCCTGGATACGACTGCTGAAACGAGCAACAGGAAACCGAGTCAAGAACAACATTGGCGTAAGAAGCTATAAATCTTAATCAACACTATTTGTGTGTTTGAGTGAGTTGTGCGTTTGAAAACTAACAGTGAAAGGATATGCTAGTGATACTGAGTGATTTTTTGTCTGCATGTTCTTGAATAACACCCACATTTCACTTCTGACCTTGCTTGACATTAGATTACCATGATTCCATGTTAACATAGTGTCTATTCAGTGTTAAGGTTTAATCTCTAAACATTTCCGTGAATCTCTCTCTAAAGCCGAGTGCACGAAAGGGGGTAGCAATACATACAGAGATGCACACATTCTAATATGTTTTGTTATTATTACTAGCCTTATGAAAAAGTGTGCTTAATTGTATTGATTTTTGCACATGTAGTGTTCAACTGTACTTGCAGATAATATAATATTATTTATATAAAAAGCAACTTAAGTGTACTTAAAGAGAGTACACTTTCATTACTGCACATCAGTAATACAAAGGCATGTTTATAAAAGCTACTTAAATGTCCTAATTTAACTAAGACCTTTGTCTAAGCCATGTCTGTGAAACCAGGCCTAAAAGTTTTACTTTACTTAAAGTACATTTTAAAAAATTATGTTTTAAAAATATGTTGTCATGCTTTAAAGAAGTACACTTATTTTGATGTGACTAACATACTAAAACAATCTAAAAAAATAAAGATGTACTTAAGTCCTACTTAAGTATGTCAAAAAGCACTCCTAAAGGTACAATATGTAAGATTTTTGGATTAAAATATCCCAAAACCACTAGATGTTATATGTGTTTTATTAGACAGGTGAGCAACTGTTTGGATACCTTCATTGACAGAAAACTTGTTATATAGCTCAACGTGGTTAGTCTTCTTGTTTATATCTCTTTTTTTTTCTTGAGTAACATGTTTGTACCATGCCTCAGAGACAACACTATTTTGTCAAGTGGCTAGCATAGCATAATCAGAAAGAGATTTATTTGTAGTAACAGTAATACAGCATTTTCTCCACCATATAATATATTTGATATATTACTGCATTGTGTAACGTTATAACATAACTTTCAACACACTCAAATGTATTTTTAGTATGATTGTTTTGACCAAGTAAAACAGCACTGCGCTACCCCACAATTTTAATAGCACTTGCAGCTATTTCATTAGAATGAAATAAAATAATGTGAATTTAAGTGATCAAACATAACTGTAACCAAGTTCAGGGAAAAAGAAGGTGGAAATATTAAACGCAACTTTAATCATAAAATAAACATAAACAACAAAACGAAAGGAGAGGCACTGCCGACTGCGGCATATAAGCATAATAAAAAAAGCTCGGGAGCTCCTCCATGGGTCTCTCATTAGCATTCGCTCTACCGGCCTCATTCAGTTCCCGCGGCTCTCGGCCTCGCCCTGTGCTTTTAAGTTCATCTAACTGCATTAAAAATATATTTAAAATATAATAAATTTTCATTTGATTACAATTAACATTCTGAGATGTCTGAAGCATTCAGTTTACAATTAAAAACGTACTTAAAAGTATTTCCGTTGTAAAAACAAATTTTTAAAATACAAGTTCTGTCATGAAACTCTAGGTGGTGCAGGCGGATAGGTCCTTAATGCAATCTGCTTGCAATCACATCATTCTCTATAGGGCACAACTGATTGGTTCCTGCTGTATCAGTAGCCAATGAGCTCGCTGCTCAACCTTCAAATACTTGGTCAGCATTTGCTGTAGCAGTTGCAGCACGCTTTCAGAATTCCTCTGAAATTCAACATCTAAGATAAGTGAAGTCTTTCTTGTGCTATAACATTGCGTGGTCTGCCTTAATTACTTATAAAGTAACCATACACAAGGTTTAAAATCATGCGTCATGTTAACAATCCTGGTTTAATGCTTAGAGCGAATTACTAAGCTAGCAGCAACCATATATGCAATATTGCGTTTATGCAGCAGCAGCAAGTGGACAATGCAGTTGCTATGAGGATACAGTGGCAAAGCATTGCTGGCAATTAAACTGACTTGTTAAATTGTAATATGCTTGGTTTCGTATTCGCATATTTCAATGGATCTTACAGCAATTCTAGTACTTTTGTTCAGCAGCAGTGTATAGTAAATTCAGATAGCAATGTTAGCGAATATTATTTATCAACAGCACGCTAGCAATGTTGCTATAAGGTATAAAACACTGTTGTGTCTTAAAGGAATAGTTCACTTTAAAGTGAAAATTAGCCAATGATTTGCTCACCCTCAAGCCATCCTAGGTGTATATGACTTTCTTCTTTCAGATGAATACAGTTGGAGTTATATTAAAGCTGCAGTCCGTAGCTTTTTAAGTTAAAAATAATCCAAAATAATTATATTAAAAAAAACGTATTCTGCCAGTGCTCAAAACTATCTGCTTGCCATAAACGGTTAGCTTGTAATAATGATTTTAATTCCAGTGGTACTGGTGGGTTTCCGCGGGAAATTCGAGCATGTCTTTGCGTCATTACGTCACACCCGTACACATAAAGGAGTTTCGGCTAGCCGGCTATACTGCGCGTGACGAGATGTTTAGATGCATAGGCTTTTCTCGCACCACTTTACATAATTAAACTTATGGCATCCAGAAAGATCCAAACAACAATCATCAGTGTCAACTGGAGATTCAGCAGTTATAAAACCCAAAAGACTTCGTACTTCGGATTTAAGGTGGCTAGAGAAAGAGAAAGAAACCGTCTCATGCGAACACAAGGATTTAAACATCGGCGGGGCTTTTGAAAAGTGCGTGAACTCCGTGTTTTGAAGGGGTTCAAAACGGAAGAAGAGACGGCTTTTTTCTGCTGAACAAGTAAGTTAAGACATTTCAATAGTTCAATCGTGTAACAGTACGTTTTCTTAATTCACACAGTTATGGAGTTTCCTTTGTTGTGCCTTTCTCGTTTTGCTATTATGGAGAATATGAATTCTGAACTACACAGGTAACCATAAAACACATTAAATTTAACATTAGTCACGCAATGCTGATGTGATGTTGTTAACATGAACAATTTGAGAACAAAGTAGGCTATAATTTGCACGGTTGCTGTAAATCGCGTTGATTAAATCTAACGAAGCTTATCATGTCGAATGCTTTTTCCCCCTTAGTTGGTCAGAACAAAAATGGATGTTACTTACTTGTTCAAAAGACATTTTCTTATGAAAATTCTTATGTTGGTCAAACTTTCAAAAAGTGAATCTGTGATTCTGTATGACAGTATCCACACAGCGCGGTGACTGACAGCACCACTCGCCTCAAAACACTGTGTTCATCCGCGCTGTTTCATGCCGATTTACAACCCATGTAAAGATGATAATTCTGCGAATGACTGCAGTTACAGATTTCGAACAGAGAGATGGCAACAAAGAGGAAAAGCTACGGACTGCAGCTTTAAATAATATCCTGGCTCTTCCAAGCTTAATAATGGCAGTGAATTGCAACCAACAGTATGGAGCTCAAAAAAGTGAATCCATCCATCATAAACGAACTCCAGACGGCTCCTGGAGGCTAATTAATAAAGGCCTTCTGAAGCAAAGCTATGAGTTTGTGTAAGAAAAATATTTTAAAATTGTTGAGATTCATACGCCGATTCTTGATGTCTGTGTGTGTCTGGCTGATACAGAAGTTCACAAAGTTTCAAGCATAAACTGTTTTCAAAATCCTTCATATTTTCTCGTTGTCAAAACACAGATTGATGTAATTCTGTAGAATCACAGTGATACCATACTCAAAAATACAAAACGTTACCCATATAAATATATTAGACTATAAATGAGATCAGTTAATCAGGCCACTATACAGTATATTGATTGTGACCATTAACAAACAGCCATTGTCATCTGATCCCGTTTCTGTTCACCTTTTTTTGCCATAGCAGATGTATTTTACAGACAGCTACAGCAGGTAAAGAAAAACTAATGTTCAAAAGTCAAGGGTCAAGAGCCCAACTAAATCAAACACTGATCACCATCATGGTAACATCAAATGAAACAAATAAAATGACATCTAAACCCCTGTCACTTTTTAATAAGAACTTCTGTAGACGTATGACAGAAATAAGGTCAATCTGGTTAGTAATAAGTTAAGCTGATGATAATGCTGTTTGTGGAGTTGTTTAATCATCCTCTGCTGAGTTCTTCGGAGATTTAAATTTTTCTCTCTTCTTGTTCCTCTTTCCTTCAATTATTCTGCTTGTTAACAGCAGGTGTTCATCAGTGTCTGAATTAACTCACTTGTTTTTATTCACTCAGTCAAGTGGACTATATTGGTGAACTAATGTAGGGAATAGTAAATTAGGGTATATGGTGGGATTTGGAACACAGCCTCTGAGTGTCGACTTTGAGTGGTGTTAATTCACAGTATGTTGCTGTAGGCTACTTTCTCGAAAATGACAAATATCACCCAGAATGCATTTTTTCTACGGTATATTGCTGTTTTAATGGAAAACAGCATGTTACTGTCAGAATTTGGCCCTTTTTACAGATTTTTTTTTTACAGTGTAGGCATGTAACTAACACCACATTGGTAATAGGGCTGCTTGATTATGCCAAAAATCATAATCACGATTATTTTGCTCCATATTGAAATCACGATTATTTAACACGATTATTGGTGGGTGCTATATGATCAAAGTCTTATATAAGTGATTTTAAATGTCAGTGAAATATCACAATTATCAATACTTCAAAAACTAATACTAGGTTAATGTAAAAAGTCCTCAAAACAGTTACAGAAGAGATGTAAACACTCAGCAATACAATAAGAACAAAGAAACTGATTTTGTTCTGTAGTATTTTTTGTTGTTTTTGTTTGTAATTAAATAAAATAAATAACTATTTAGGTTTTTCTGGAAGATATCCTAACAGTGGTATTCAGATAAGTAATACCTAACAAAAGAAATTGAATGAAGTTATCAAATGGAAAATAACACTGCTGTATACATTAAATATAGACTAATCCTTATTAAAACAACAGTTTATTCATTCAAGAGCAGTGAGTGAATTTATCTTTGTCTTTTGTTGTTTGATTAACAATAATGACTGCAGCTGGTTTATTAGGCTGCTGTCACTTTAAGAGCTGCACAGATCCAATATACTGGAACAAACGCGCTCTTTCTCAGTGTTTACATTACCTTGAAACATAACCGACTGTGTTTACGAGGATACTTGCCAAAACGGCATTTTGACGTATTTGTGTATAGCCTATTTGACCCTTTAGGCATGTGTCTAAAGCCCACAGTATACTTTGCTTACCGGTATGTGCGTTCCGCCCCGTCTCGGAGCGCACACTCAGGAGGCCGCCTAGGGAACAGTATCTCTCTCTTTTGCGGCTTAATATGCTTTTAATAACAAGATCACGTGTGCGTGAGACTGAAATTGTTATTAAAAATGATAGCATGCAAGAAGATTGCGATCCAAATTGTCTGTGCGTTGATTTGCAGCGAAAAGGAGAAAAAGAAAAACAAATTATGCAGGAGGAAATGGTTGGGGAGACGAGGGGAGTGTGTTCAAAGAGAGTTGGAATTTTGCAATGTGCTGCTGGTCAAGCAAATGTTGGTGTTTTGTTTCTGTTTGATATAATTGTAAATATATCTATTAAAATACTGATATTCTGGTCTATAACTACACCCTGAACTTCCCGCTGCCCTGTATTGCTCTCATTGGCTGTAGGTCATCGCCCATGTAGTTTTCAGTCAGAACACTTTCGCAGACCCCTTTTTTTGAGAGAAAATCGGGGGCTAAAATCGTTCAGTGTGAACTCGGCATAAAGGGCACACATAGCTAGCAAACACGCAGTTCTTATGGCTCTTCGGAGCAGTATAGCTTTACATGTGTTTTACATAATAATGTCTTATTATGCTTATTACCAAGCACTTGCTCTGCAGCAGCAATAACCAACAGCAGCAGCGTAGCAGATCTATTTTCGCCAAGAAAACAGATCGACCATGTCAAACACTCAAGAGATCTGTCATGACAGAAATGTATTTCTTTTTTTAGCAGGGTATTTCTTTCTTTCTTTTTAACTATCCATGGCACATACAAATTTGCTCAGTAAGATTTTGTTTACTTTTAACTGGCTCTTTTTCATCCCAAATGGTCAATGGTTTTGGACTTTATACTGACACATATGGCCCTTGATGCATTAAGTTTGATAAACTGCTGCTGAAGCTGTTTGTTTATGTTTTGTTTCAATGGTAACCAAAACTGTTTGGTTACCAACATTCTTTTATGTATGAAAAATAAATCTCTCTGCTCTTGCCATAGGGTTCTGCGGACTCATACACTAGTCGGCCATCGGACTCAGATGTGTCTCTGGAGGAAGATAAAGAGACCTTACGCAGAGAAGCTGAGAGACAGGCTCAGACTCAGCTCGAAAAGGCCAAGGTCTTGCTGCATGTTTTACTTATTACTGAATCAATATCTGATTAACTGGCAGTTTGACAAGGGTTTGTTAAGTCTGTTTTTCTGCCTAATCGTCAGTCTATCTGTAGCTGTATTCATAATATCATACTATTGCCATATTACTCATGCTATATCTTTGGTAGTAGTGATTTTAAAATTACTGGCATTGACCAGGGGCCGATCTATATTATATTAATGCCGAGGTCAGACTGCACGATTTTCAAAATAATCGGGTCACTGTTGTTTTCACACTGCATGACTATCTGGGGTAACATTCAGTTGCTGCTGTGTTCACACTGCACGATGGATCGGCGACAGGAGGTTTCACACTGCATGACTTTACAAAAGAAAGAATCGCCGACAACTTCTGCCTGGTCCGCAAACTACGTTTCACAACCAAACAAATGCGAGAAGTGATAGGAAATAACGGAAGATTGCGCGTGCGTGAGACCGGAGTTCTCGCGCGACACTGAATTTGTTATTAAAAATGATAGCCTACAAATTGTCTGTGCACTGATTTGTAGCGAAAATGAAAAGAAAAAAATAAACAGTTTATGCAGGAAATGGTTGGGAAGACGAGAGGGAGCAAGGACTGTGTTTTGCAAAGAGAGTTGGGGGTAAATAAATAATTTTGCAAATGTCCTGCTGTTGCTGCTGGTCATGCAAATGTTTGTGCTTTGTTTCTGTTTGATATAATTGTAAATATAGGCCTATCTATTAAAATACTGATATTCTGGTCTATAACTCCTCCTCCTCCTCACTGTATCTTGCTCTCTCATTGGCTGTCGGTCATCGCCGATGTAGTGTTCAGTCAGAACACATTCACACAGCAGGATTGTGAATCCCCAACAGGTCCAGATATTTAGCATGCCAAATATCTCACAGGCGTCGGCGACTCGTCGGCGATTCTCTCAGATCGCGTCTTTGCTCATTCACACTGCGTGATTGTCACTCGCGTGAACGAGCACCGATTTGCCTGTGATTTCGGGCATTTGTCGGCGATTTCTCAAAACCTGTCGGCGAGCCAAAATCGGGGCTAAAATCGTGCAGTCTGAACTCGGCATAAGACTAGTTTGACCAACTAGAAAAGAGGTAATACGTCTTACTTTTCCGATTTAAACTAGACCAATCTAGCTATTTAAGTTAATGACTTTAAAAAGTTAGGACCAGTCTTAAAGAAAAAATTAGATGACTAACTTTTAAGACTAGTCTAAGCTAAATGCAACCAGCCATGTGCGATAAGTATTTCTGTTTGGCCGAAGTTTTGGAAGCAGTTTTTTTTTTTTTTTTTTTTTACAGCTACAGGACTTTAATTTTAACAGCGCTGAGAACGCAGTACTTGATGTCAAGATAAATTGTCATATTCTTGTCATATGTCATAATGCCACTGTGGACTGTACAATTTGCATTACCTGGTCTTTGCTTGAGAAAATATGATTTCCAGTGCTGCACTGTTGGTTAAAGTGTATACTTCCTTATTATTCATTTAACTAGCCTAATTATAGATGTGTGAAAAGTACTATAATAGGATTTCAGAATCAAGAAGTTGCTAAAACATAAATCGGTTTATTTTACAATGTTTAAATTGTAAAATTTTAAAGTTTAAATTAAATTTTCCATATTGAGTCAAAAACGTTAGGGTTTGTCTGCACATGGAGTGCCATCTTCTAAAGCTTGATTTGTAGCTGGGCTCATTTTTAAACAGAACTTTCTCTGAGGAAAACCAAAGCAGTTGTTTGGAGGCAATACATGACATCTCACTACAGTAGTCTTTCCAATCTATTTTTATTCTTCTGTCTATTTAATCTTGTTATTGTCACTCTCTTTTTTTACCTCTAGGGGAGGTAGCTATTTTTAGTGCTTAGCATCAATCAGATTTGATCTTTTATTTATGCAGAATACTCACATTAATATTGAAATAAAGCCAGATGGCAGTAAAATATTCAGACAGAAGAAATTCTTCACTGACCATGTTTCTTGAAATATCTGCATCTGTTCTCTCACACACATGCATAGTTTCACAAATCAAACTTTAAAGGAATAGTACACCCAAAATTGATTTTTTTTTTTCTTTATCATAAAGAGAAATGCTCCAAAAAGAGCACAACATCACAATATATTCCAAGACTTCTAAAGCCATCCTCCAAAAAAAAAAAAAAACATAATAAACATTAAGAATATAGAGGCATTTTTTAAATATACAGTACCAGCCAAAAGTTTTGATTTAATTAATATTTAGAATGATTTCTGAAGGATCATGTGACACTGAAGACTGGAGTAATGATGCTGAAAATTCAGCTTTGCCAATTGTACATTGATTACAATTTCAAATGTATTCAAATAGAAAACAGTTATTTTAATTATTATAATATATCACAATATTATTGTTTTTACTGTATTTTTGGTCAAATAAATGCAGCCTTGATTGAAATCTCTAGCTTTGTTATCTTGCTAAATCTGAATGTTTTACGATATTCTGGAGATGCAATTGAAATGAGTAAATTAGTACGTTTTTGTCAAATGTCTTTTTGGATAATGAATGAAAGCATATAGCTGAACAGGCATGTACACACTAGGTTACAATCACTATGTCTGATCAATACTGCATGTATAATGGAAAATCGTGTTACATAAGACGCAGACAGTGGCTGTGAAAGCAAACAGGGCTTTAAAAATGAACAGAGAACTGCTAACTATTAAAAAAACGCAAAATATAATTTAAATCTCTGTTAATAAATATTACATTGCATAATTTTGCTTTTTTATTATAAAATAAATGTGAAATGCAGCTCAAAATAAAGAAAGGAAAGCTAAAAGGAGCATTGTCTTGACAGATCATGGAGACTCATGAAGTGCATGTAAACACACCATACCCACTGCCATTAAAGGACACTGTGTCCTCTGTTTATCATACCCATAATTCATTGTGTGTGCAGTGCAGACCGTCTTGTGTCAGTATTGATTTTGCCCTCTAGTACATGCTCCTGCTTTTTTCTGTTGTAAAAACATTGGGGTAAAAAACATTGCAAAATCACCCTCCCCCATAGAACACAAAATTCGAATTTTTAAAGAATAATCTGGCAGTTCTGATCTGAATTGATTTGTAACGGCAACCCCCATTTTGGAAAAACTTCATTCAGCAAGATTTTGGCTGTTGCATTTGCTGTGCAGGTTTCTAAGTGGAAACCCCTCCACCTTCCAAATAAACAATCATTAAAGTGTAGTTAACTGTAAGTTAAAGCTGATCTATTAAGTCAATTTGTAGGTGTGTCAGCATGTCCCAAAGAAATGTTATGCTTTGACGGGGAATTCACGTTAAGACATACTATACACCTTTTGCATAAATCAGAGCAAGCATTTCTCATCTTTGGCCACCACCATGTTTTTTGAAATCATTATCATTGCATGTTACTTTTCGGGACCTTCATGTGCCAATCCATGATACAGAGACATTAATTCAGTACAAGCAGAAGAAGGGCAAACAAGTCACTCAGTAAATTTCCACAGTCCATCTGAGCTCTGGTGTGCTTAATTTCGTCCATTGCTCTCATCAACATCATCAACTGCATATAATGCAACAGTGTATTTCCTCCTCCTGTGGAGAAAGAGACATTAGACTGACAGTTCCTTCTGTTTGTTTTGCTGCCCCCCTGGCAGTGGCATCTGCAGCTTGGTTTTCCTTGGATTCAGGCGAGTCGTCCTTTGAGTGTCCTGTTACTTTGATAACAGCTCCTTATGCAGGGAGAGCACATGAATCCATTAGTTAAATGACCTGCTGTTGGTGACAGATAGGAAGTCCAGCAGTAGTTAAAAATCCTCTGTGTTTCCACACGGGTCTGAAATAATGCATCACTTTACATGCATATCTACTGTCTGTGTACACATTGACCCTGGGCTCGTGTCAAAATGACAAGTTCTGCAACTTGAGCCCCTCCGCCTGAAAGAAAACCACAGTCAACAGTTTACCCATGCTCATTTACAACAACCCAGCCTGTGAAGTGTGTTCACTGCCCATGAAAGCTGGACCCATCAACAAACAGTTTCATGGCATTAGGTAGTGGCTCAGTCTAGAGTGCTCTTGGTGACATGTTCAATTAGTTGAAGGAAGTTAAGTCAATTTGTATGTCCACATTTTTGCTCAAAAGAGTGGCTTCCCACTTGGCCCGTCTCTGAGAAGAGATTGAGCCTAGGCCTGTTTGTTAACAGTTTCAGGATCTGATGCCTGGTGTGTACTACCAACTCCCTCAGTTATTTTTACAGCCCACTCTGTACAGTCACAAATCAACAAGCAAGGATTCTGTCCTGCCATTGAGGCAGGAATTGGGGTTGAGGAATATCCCACGAGTCTCTTTAATGCTCACAAATGCATCTTCCATCTCCTTTGTCCATTCAATTAGTTCTGGCTCTGGCTTTTGCTCCATTCAAAGCCTCTGTAAGCGGTTTAGATAATTCAATGTGTGCAGGAGAAAAAAAAAACATTAAAGATATAGGCTGTTTAAAGATAACATGCATTGCAATCAAATTAATAACAAATGAATTGATAACATGCGATAAAACAAACACTTAAAAATGTATTTTGTATGTTTTCTTTCCACTAGTCTGAAATAACCAGTTATATACATGTTTTTGCCTGTATATAATGTCTTGCCTTCAATGACAAAAAGCAACAAAAAAACACTAACTTGTCAATCAGCTAAACCCAAACAGAAGGAGAAGAGAAGACTGAAATGTAGCTTGTACCTGAATAAATCTGTGATAATTCTGTCATATTTTAAATGAAAATTCTGTCATATTAGGCCGTGAGACAGAGGGTTGATTGGTACCATTTTGAGGGATTAAACCGCATGGTGATTTTTGTGTAGGTATATGACCCTGTATTTGAAAAATGTGTGATAGCATTAGATTCAAGGTAGTTTTTGGTTACGGAGGACGATTTTCAAACATATGTTTGATATAAAATGTGTTATATGTTTTATAAAATTTTATACATTTTTATAATAAAAAAAATTATACATTTTTTTAATACATTTTTTAAATTATAAAAGGATAAATTTTTCTCTCTTGTAGTCACTGAACACCTTACCTTGAGGTAGGATGAAATAAGTGTTGATTTCTAATGAAAGCTACCATGGATTGGATGCTATCACACATTTTCCAACACTAGAGATGTGTACCTTCATGAAAATCAAAAAGAAATTGAATCCCTCAAAATGGTACCGGTAGCCCAAATTTGGGGTCCCGTCTCATGGCCTATATGATGTACTTATTCTCATGTCGTTCCTAATCTGTGTGCATTTCTGAATTCAACACGCAAGAAGATATTTTAAAGAATTTTGTTGTCAAAACAACATGATTGGACCCTATTGTCTTTCATTGTACGGACAATGTCAAAACACTGATGCATTTTTCAAAATAACTTTTTTTGTGTTTTCCAAAGGTTTGAAATAGCATTAGAGTTGTAATGTTCCAATCTTTCTCTTCTACTTCTTGGTAATATTTCATACTCCTCGTTCTTCTACACAGGCTAAACCTGTGGCATTTGCAGTTCGTACTAATGTTGGCTACAGCGCCTCCCTTGAAGATGATGTCCCTGTGCCTGGAATGGGAATATCATTTGAGGCTAAAGATTTCCTTCATGTTAAAGAAGTTTGTATATACACACACACACATATCCATATTTACAAAAAAAAATTAAGAATTATTACGCTTGAGTTAAAATAATTTTTAATGCTGAACAAACCTGAACAAATCAAATTAATACCGTATGATATCACAATAAACAAAGCACAATACTCAAAATACATCATGTATCACAGATTCTTTTACTCAAACAGACACGCATATAAAACAATTGTTTATGGCCAATTCTGAAACAAGAGATTTTTACTTTGTAAGGTTCTGTGAGATTGGTATTGTATACTTTGTGTGTTTAATGACAGAAATTTAATAACGACTGGTGGATTGGTCGCTTGGTGAAAGAAGGGTGTGACATTGGTTTCATCCCAAGTCCAGTGAAGCTTGAAAACACTCGCATCCACCAGGAGCAACGTGCAAAACAAGGAAGATTTTACTCAAGGTATCTGTTCCACAAACGCACTACATAAAGTTCTTCACCAAACAAAATGTTACAGAAAATATAGCTTTGACATACAGAACTAGATTTAGACTGCATTTCTCAAAGGCATTCCTTGTGAAAAAGAAATGCGCTTAATTGTATTGAATGTGGACTTGTATTGTACTTCAAATCTTAAAAGTATATTTTTTAAAAAGTGTACTTGCAGATAATGTATTAGTGAAAAAATGCCACTTAAGTGTACTTAAAGAGTACACTTTCATGACTTTAAGTACACTTTAAAAAGTGGACTTTGTAATAATGTCAATAAGTTTATTTCCGTAATAAGCACGCTTTTGCTTTAGATTTAGAGACCATTGGAGCCAATGGTTTCTAGAATGTACTTAGACTTATGATGCCTTTAAAGGAACACTCCGACTTTTTGGGACTTTAGCCTATTCACCTTATCCCCCAGAGTTAGATAAGTCCATACATACCTTTTTCATCTCCGTGCGTGCTATAAGTCTGTTTGACGCACCCACCGCTAGCCTAGCTTAGCACAAAGACTGGATGTAAATGGTTGCAGCTAGCATACTAATCCAAATAAGTGACAAAATAACGCAAACATTTTCCTATTTACATGTTGTGATTTGTATAGTCACAGAGTGTACAAAAAACAAAGTCACATGAGAGACAGACATATTTTACCCGTATAAATACTGGGAACTATATTCTATGAAGGCGAAGCACTGCTACTTGGGCGGAGTGATAACCGCAGCACATGAGACGCGCCGTGGTGAGGAGCAGAGAGCGCGTCTCAGGTGCTGCGGTTATCACTCCGCCCAAGTAGCAGTGCTTCGCCTTTAGAGAATATAGTTCCCTGTATTTATACAGGTAAAATATGTCTGTGTCTCATGTGACTTTGTTTTTTGTACACTCTGTGACTATACAAATCACAACATGTAAATAGGAAAATGTTTGCGTTATTTTGTCACTTATTTGGATTAGTATGCTATGCTAGCTGCAACCATTTACATCCAGTCTTTGTGCTAAGCTAGGCTAGCGGTGGGTGCATCAAACAGACAGCACGCACGGAGATGAAAAAGGTATGTATGGACTTATCTAACTCTGGGGGATAAGGTGAATAGGCTAAAGTCCCAAAAAGTCGGAGTGTTCCTTTAATCTTAACCTTTGCTATGATCAGTGCCTGATGAAAATAAACAGCTCAGATCAGTTTTTAATGGCTTTATCTGGTCATTTAGGGTCCGTTTACACGACACCATTTCAACTGAAACCGGTAAACTTTTCACGCGGATTGGCCGCTCGTTCAAAGTGCACGTTTTTGAAAATGATATCGTTATTGTCTCCATGTAAACTAAAAAAACGTGAATTTGTGAAACCTATGACGTCATGCAAATGCGTATTACATGTTCAGTCTATAGCCCTGTAGTTTTTCTTTAAAAAGTGATATCGCCAACTACTGGCCTGGCAGGAGAATACAGTGTTTTAGTCGTTTTCGTGGATCCCTGAGAGCGGAGATCGTTTTGACAACATTGTCGTTTACGTGAAAAAGGCAAAGGAAAAACGTTTCTGTTTTTAGTAGGCTACATCGTTGTCGTGTAAACGTACCCTTAAACTGTCGCCCACTGAACTTGCTAAGCTGGTCTAAGCTGTGTCTTTTCTTCAGCAGAGCACTCTTAAATACATAAAATAAGAAAAATATACACCTTTCTTTTTTATTAATTGATTGTATGTTATTTTTCTTCACAGTAAATCAGGGGCAAACTCTTCATCTAGTTTAGGAGACATAGTTTCAAACTCACGTAAATCAACCCCTCCCTCCTCAGGTAAGTTATCAAAATTGGTTTAACTCAATGTTATATTTCCAACATTATTCAGTGCATCAAATGAATTCGATTTTTGATGCACTTAGTACATTATATTATATGTCACATCACATCATATTATTTTTTAGTTTTCAACACATCCTCTGCCCTGGTCAAACTAATTCTAGATGAACGTGAACAGGATTCACTTTTAGGAATTTTCTATTGTAGCATGGATGGAACTAATCTTAGTTATAATTTATTATCATAAATCGGTCTGGGCTTGATCAGCAAATGTTTTGGTCAATGTGCAAGCATTGAAAGCAACAAACTGAAAGCAACAAAAGGGAAACTCTCTTAATGCTGAGAGTTTGTTAAAGCTAACAATACTGGGGACTGTGGAGGGTAAAAATTTGAGAAAAGAATGGAGGAAGAAAGCGCTGGAAATGCATTTGCAGTCACGATTACAAGAAAAGGTAAGTTGCTGTGTCAGCTTCTAAAGTACAGCCTGGTAAACTGGGATGAAGAAATTTCTTCAAATGATGAGAAAGCACTATTTGATTTGAGAGTAGTGAACCACCCATAATGAGTGTGAGGAGCCAAATGTGCGAGGGAAGCAGCGGTTTATATATGTTACTCGAGCATTTTGATTGGTCGGAGAATGGACTTGCTCCTCCTGAAGTTTTGTTTGTTTGAAGGGATACTCCATCCAGAAATAAAAATTCTGTGATAATTTACTTACTCTCATGTCACTTCAAAACTTTCTTATGCTGACCATAAAAGATGATATTTTGAGAAATCTCTTTTTGTGCGTACAGTGGGCTTCAGTGTTGTTTGGTTCCCAGCCTTCTTCAAAATGTCGTCTTTTGTGTTCCTCAGAAGAAAGAAATGCATACAGGTTTGGAACCACATGAGGGTGAGTAAATGATGACAGAATGTTCATTTTTGGGTGGACTATCCCTTTAATAACACCATTTTGTATAATGTTGCAATCCTATAAGACAATTCCAGTTAAAATCCGTTAGGATTGATTGCAAATTATGATAGAAATTCCAGATTTTTTTTTACAAGAGCAAACTGAAACACTTGTTGTTATACAGTTTTGACAAAGTGTGCTTAACTGTGTTGAATGTGTACTTGTAGTGTACTTAAACTGTATTTGCAGATAATATAATATTAATAAAATAAAAGGTCACTTAAGTGTCTTAACACACTTAAGTACACTTTTAAAAAGTCCAATCTGTAATAAGGTAAAATGAAATAATCATTTAATTACATTTAAAGGTAATATATTTTAAATGTACTAAATTGCAACTTCATCTTTACAAATGCATAAATACAAATATATTTAATTACACAAGAATTTTCAATAGAAATTACATTATAGTATGTTTTAGTTTACCATAAATGCTTGTCAGTATATTTGACAGTACACTTTAACCATATTTCAAAGACCATGGATTTAATTATGTAATTATGAAATTACATATAAAGATGTACTTAAGTCCTATACTTAAGTGGGTCAAAAAAGAACTTCAGCAAATTGCATTTAATATAAATGTAAACTATTTTCACTTTAATTGAAGTTAATACTCAGTTAAGTGTTTGTAAACATTTACATTCAGTTTGCACTCAAGCATATTCTTTTAAAGTATATTATTTCCATAATAAGTACTCTTTTTAATAATATATGTACTTTTTCACAAGGGTCTGCTTTTAATGAAATGCAGTTTGCTTAATTTTTGTGTTCATTCTTTAAAGTACCAAATAGTTGTAAATTGTTGCCTTATGAAGTGTTGTTTTAAAATGAATGTTGTGCATTTACAGAAGTGTCTCTCTTATGGTCTGTATGAATTCCCCCTTGTGTTTTGCTGAGGCTCATATGTAAGTGTGTGCATTTATATATGTGTGTTTAGCTGTGGACATAGATGCTGCAGGGTTAGATCCAGAGGAGAGTGACCCTCCTCCCCATCAGCGTTCTCCCAAAGCCAGCCCAAACACAGTAATATCCCCTTTAGCCCGCGAGAAACGAATGCCTTTCTTTAAGAAGGTAAAGCTTGCCGTTGGACGCTACCTCGTTCTTCATCTGTCCGTCACCTCCTGCACAGCAGCAGCAGCTTCATGCAGAGCCTGTTCTCTTTGTCATTGCCTCAATGTTCACGCCATCTTACTCTTTCCCTTCTCTCTCCCTGTCTTCTCTTTGTTCCTCTGTACCCCTTGGTCTTTTCCTTTTGTCTGTTTCCCTTCCTCCTTTCCTCAGCTATACAGAGGCATAAGTCGGTAAGTTAGGCCAGAGAACCGTGCAGTGTTTTCCTGAGGCCTGCTGCCGGTCATTCCTGTTATGCAGTACCTGTGCTTGATGTAGTTGATTCATTTTAGCTTATTGTTTTTTACACAATGGAAAAATTATACAGGATGCCTAAGAGGAAACAGAAATAAAGAGCCATTGCTCAGTGAGGGATTTATACTATATGTAACAGAATAGAATGTTTACAGTGAAACCAACTTGCACCATAAACCATCTACAAAGGCGCGAACACATTTACTGATGTTTGGCGAAATTTCACAGTCAATCCAGTTATTTCAATAGAAATCCACTTTTGGGAGTTTTGTGAAAAAGTTCCCCACGCTGTTTACGCTCATGTTTAAGTTGGTCACACAAATTCACTGAAACAAAACCAATAAAAAGTTGATTGGTTTGTGCTTTATACATCACTACTGACAATAGACTGAATAGAATGGATTTTTTTGCCTGTGAAATTTTGCTAATGTGACTGCACCTTAATACACTCTTCAAAATAAAAGTTCCAAAAGTGGGTTTCGCATAGAACAGGGGTGTCCAATCCTGCTCCTGGAGGGCCACTGTCCTGCAGAGTTTAGCTTCAACCCCAATTAAACACACCTGAGCCCGATGATCAAGGCATCTTATAGGCATACGAGAAACTTCCAGGTCTGTTGAGGCAAGCTGGAGCTTAACTGAGTTTGGACGCCCCTGCCATAGAAGAACCATTTTTGGTCAGTGATCAGTTCTTAAATAAAAAATTCTAAGTGTAAAGTTTAATTTGAACCTTTTGTGCATTGGAAAGGTTCCATGGATGTTAAAGGTTCTTCATGGAACCATAAATGCCAATAACCTTTATTTTTAAGAGTGTTCAAGAGATGTTTGGGCTGAAAAAAAATTCACGCCTTATGTTTAGTTAATTATAAGAAAAGTAACTATTATAATCTGCTATGAATCCTACTCCTGGAGAGCCATATCTTTATTATATTATCTATATTAAGACTTGAAAATGTCCGACAGGAATGATCGGATGGCCACTTCCTAGTAACCCTGTGTGGGTCTCCTTTCTGACATTTCTCTTATACAGCTTTGATTTTGTATTTGTTGTGTGTGCATGTTTAAACAATTAAATTATTATTTATACAATTCTGTACAAAATTGTATATATAATAATTTTCTAATAACAGTGCTGTTATAAAAGCTTGATATTAACAAATCCTATTACTAATCTCCCCAGTATGTTTGTAACACCTGATGTTTGTATGTAAATTGGGTTTCAAGTTGGGTGTCAAACTTAATTTGAGCACAGGCTAAACTAATGCATTACAGTTATAACTACTTTTTTATCTTTAAATTAAACTAAATAATTAGCTATACAGCCATGTAAGAACAGGACATACTCAGCCTGCGGACATTAAATTTGACACTTGCAATGTAGATTTTGATCTTGATTATGGATAATTAGTATTTGCAATCAAATACAAATATTATCCCTCATAGATGTGATTGTAAATGGGGTGTTCTGTGTGTGTATTCTGTGAGGTGTGTATGTATGCACACATCAGAGGTTAATGTTGTGTTTTTGTGGTGCTCTACAGACAGAGCACATTCCTCCATATGATGTGGTGCCCTCTATGAGACCAGTGGTGCTAGTGGGACCCTCGCTCAAGGGCTACGAGGTCAGGTGCTGCAAAAAGCATTGTGACTTCATTGACAAGATATTTAAAGGCTAATTCACCCAGAAATTAACTAATGTCACTCAAACTTCTTATCATGTGTTTTATATATTTAGCAGAATGTCCAAGCTGCTCTTTTCCATAAAGTTAAAGTACTGTCGAGGTGTAAAAATTACAAAACATTGCAAACATAGGTTCTTCTAATCTAAGGGAAATCAGTAAGCACTCAAAATAAATGCTCTGTAAATAGTTAAAAAATAACATGCCCATGGCCTTTTGTTGTTTAAAATGTGTAAAGAAAAAGGGTAACATTTTTACAATAAGGTTCCATTAGTTAACATTAGTGAATGCATAGTCTCAGCCTCAGACGTCACGCCCACGGAACGTTGGCTAAACGTCTGATGCATACGGTACACTTAACTGGAAACACTTCAGGAATGTCGAAGTCGTCATCTGATTGGTTGAATTTTATCGGATTTCCGGGGGGCGTGAGTATCGCATTTATTTTCGGTCCGCCGGGAAACAAAGCGCAGACGTGTGATTGCGGAAGAAAAAAACTGTAGTGTTTACATGAGTGACAATGAGCATTTATCAAGATCAGCTAAACGTAGGATTCTCAAAAGTATGCGAGGTTCACGGCATAGACTCTTGAAGTTGTTTTCTCCTTCTTTGATTTTCTATGCTGACTGACTTGTTGCATGCTGGTCTGTTGTTGTGGGGACATTTCCACGCCCCGAAACGTGACGCTGAACGAAACGATCTGTAATTGGTTGTTTTACATGTCGGTCAAACGGCCTTATGGGCGGGCCTTGGCCAAAGAAAGCTGCTATGAATTCCAGACCTTCAGCCGTCAGTCTACGCGAGACTAGTGAATGCATTAACTAACATTAACATTGAGCAATACATTTGTTACATATTTATTCATTTTTGTTCATGTTAGTTATTAAAAAAAAAAAACTGTTCATGTTAGCTCTGGTCCATTAAACAATATTAACAGATACAACTTTTGATTTTAATAATGTATTAGTACATGTTGAAATTGACATATTAACTAAGATTAGTAAATGCTTTAGAAGTATTTTTCACTGGTAGATTATATGTAGTTAACTGATGTTAGTTCAGTAGTTACTGAAAAATGTATATCTTAGGTGCAAAACCTGGTCACCATTCATTTATAGTTTTTCACAATTTTGTATCACTTTTTTAGCTTTAGCTTTTAATAGTAGGCTACTGTATGGATATTTTTTTTTATATATATATAAAATAGGAGAAAGTGTTTGCAATGTTTTATCTTTGAATTTAAATACTTGAAATAGAATATCAGCTACCACAATTATATATAACTGTTTGGTTCAGCCAAAAAAATAAATTAATTAAAACGTACTCTGTTATTAACGTAACCTCTGTTCTCTCTAGAGAGGGAACGAGTACTGCGTAATATCTTACGCTACAGGGAAAACCTCTTTTCCTCGAGATATTGAAGCCAAAAATTATCCTTAATTTTTAATCAATGCAAAACGCTTTGCGGCAGCAAGCAGACATAGGCGAGGCGTCTCGCGCGCCTATTGGCTGCTCTGCGGCAAAAGCAGCAGCCTATCGAGAGCGGCTCTGCGTGACGTCTTGACCAATGGGGGCACTTCGCGCCCATTTCGTCACGTCCCGCCAGAAAGGGTGTGGTCTCGCCCTATAAATATAGCTCGATAAGGCTGGTACACTGGTTTTCATCGCCGAAGCGAACCAGAGCGTATTGTAAGCACGGCAAGATACGCAGTACTCGTTCCCTCTCTAGAGAGAACAGAGGTTACGTTAGTAACCGAGTACGTTCTCTTACGAGAGTATCTCTCGTACTGCGTAATATCTTACGCTATGGGGAACACAGTGTAACACGCCGTGCATACAGGGATCCAACACCAAAGTCCCAAGGGCAGAGGCCCGGGGCGCATGTAGTGCATAATCACCATAGACTCACAAAGAGTGACGGAAGAGGGGCTAGAAGCGTCATTCCTTATAAAATAGCATCCAGAGGAGCTAATCATACAGATATTATACCACGTAGTCAGGGTGAAAACACTTTCAGCCTAAACTGGGCGGCCATACATGTGTTGACACTCGTGGAGCTGCTGTATCAGTCAGTGAGAGATACGCAGGCCAAACTCAGCATCTGGGCCGACACAGCGGGGCAGATCGCACTGAATTCTAGACCGCCAAAAGCTTAGCTTGTAAGGCGGGGACCTCCAGGTTATAGTATTTTATAAATGTAGACGGCGAGGCCCAGCCCGCAGCCGTATAAATATCTTGCAGGGTAATCCTGCTAGACCATGCCCACAAAGAGGCCACGCCTCTCGTGGAGTGCGCTCTGACACCCAAGGGACACTGCAGGCCCTTAGAGGTGTAAGCCAGCGCTATGGCATAAACTATCCATCTGGATAGGCTCTGTTTTGATGCGGCAAGTCCCTTAGAACGTCCGCTAAACAAAACGAAAAGCTGCTCAGTCTGTCAAAAACCAGACGAGCGGGACACATAAGCTCTTAGTGCCCTGACGGGGCAAAGGAGACTTGCGACCTTCTCCTCATTGAGAACCGGAAGGGCGGACAGGGAAATCACCTGGGCCCTGAACGGTGTGTTGAGGGATTTCGGCACGTACCCGTGCCTAGGTTTGACTATGACCTTTGAGTCATTAGGCCCAAACTCCATACATGACGCGCTTACCAAAAGCGCTTGTAAGTCCCCTACGCGCTTCACTGAAGCGAGAGCCATGAGAAACACCGTTTTGAAAGACAGATGTTTCATGTCTGACAAATGGATTGGCTCGAATGGGGCGCCTTTCATGGCTTCCAACAGCGTGGAAAGGTCCCACATCGGGACTGAAGGGGGCCTGGGAGGGTTCAATCTCCGAGCTCCCCTGAGGAAACGCACGACTAAGTCGTTCTTCCCCAGTGGCTGGCCAGACGCCGGTTTTGCAAACGTTGCTATGGCCGCCACGTATACTTTGAGCGTGGATGGGGTTCTGCCCTTATCCAGCAGCTCTTGAAGGAAGGAAAGCACTTCCGTAACCCCGCAGTCTACGGGTGAAAAGCCCTGAGCTTGACACCAAGCAGAGAACACAGACCATTTCGAGGAATAGAGCCGTCGAGTAGACGGAGCTCTAGCCTGCGTGATCGTGTTTAACACTCCCTCCGGGAGGTTAGCGGGTACTCGTTGATGGCCCATGCGTCCAGGGACCACAGATCCGGGCGAGGATGCCAAATCGAGCCCCCTGCCTGAGAGAGGAGGTCTCTCCTCAGTGGTACAGGCCACGGGGCAGTGCTGGCCAGCTGCATCAGGACTGGGAACCAGGTTTGTCCAGAGCGGGGCCACGAGCAGCACTGGGCATCCGTTTTCCCTGATTCGTTCCAACACTTGAGGCAGGAGCGAGACAGGGGGAAAAGCATATAGGGGAACGCGGGGCCAGACATGGGCCAGCGCATCCCTGCTCTTCAAGCAGAAGTTCGGACACTGAGCGTTTTTCGTGGGTCGCGAACAGGTCCACCTGCACTCTGCCGAACGTTTCCCACAGCAGTTGGATCATCTGCGGGTGCAGTGACCATTCCCCTGCTGGGACATTGTTTCTGGACAGTCTGTTTGGTCCCACATTCAGGTGACCAGGCACATGCGCTGCTCTCAGCGAGAGCAGGTTGTGCTGAGCCCAGACCAGAAGGCGTTCCGTCAACCTGTAAAGGTTTCGGGACCTGACGCCACCCTGGCGATTTATGTGTGCCACCACTGACATGTTGTCCGACCGGACCAGGACGTGGTGACCTTTTATCTGGGGACAGAAGCACCGTAGCGCTTTGTCGACTGCTATCATTTCCAAGCAGTTTATGTGAAGGAGCTTTTTCCGTTCTGACCACAGGCCAGCGAACGGTCTGCCCTTGAGCAGCGCTCCCCATCCCGAGGTGGAGGCGTCCGTAGACACCACCTGCACACTCGAGGCGGTCCCCAAACTCACACCTGACTGATACCAGTCGGTTACTTTCCAAGGTTTCAGAGCTGAAACGCACTTTAGATCGACCCTGAGGCGAAACAGACCAGCGCTCCGTGCCCGGGGCGGAACTCGCGCTTTCAGCCACATCTGCAGTGGGCGCATGCGAAGCAGGCCCAGGTGGAGTACAGAGGCTACTGAGGCCATCAGGCCCAGTATTTTCTGAAACCTTTTGAGCGGGACTATATAACCGTGGCGGAAGGAGTTCGCGACGCGCTGAATGTCTAGTCCGCGCTCCGGTGACAGGCGTGCTGTCATGGATAGCGAGTCCAGCACTGTTCCCAGAAAAGAAACTTTCTGACTGAGAGAAAAAAAAACGACCAAACGTTTTTTCTGACGTTAAAGCGAGCTTTTCGCCCAATTGACTGTGAGGCCCAGATTCTCGAGGTGTTCGAGTAATGTGGCCCTGTTTTCTATGAGCTCTGAGTGTGATCGAGCTAGATTCAGCCAATCGTCCAAGTAGTTCAAAACTCGCATGCCCCGAAGTCTCAGGGGTGCGAGAGCCGCGTCCATGCACTTCGTGAATGTACGGGGTGCTAGGAACAGGCCGAACGGCAGGACTGTGTATTGATATGCCTGGTCCTCGAAGGCGAATCTCAAGAATCGCCTGTGATGGGACGCTATTTGTATTCGGAAATAGGCGTCTTTCAGATCTATTGACATAAACCAGTCCTCTTGGCGAACTCGCGCGAGGATTTTCCTGGTTGTAAGCATTTTAAACTGGCGCTTCACAAGTGCTCTGTTCAGCTGTCGCAGATCTAAAATGGGTCTGAGACCTCCATCTTTTTTCGGTACCAGAAAATATCTGCTGTATAGGCCCCCTTCGCTCTGAGCCTGAGATAAAGGTTCTATAGCACCTTTGCTCAGTAGTTTCGCTATCTCGGCTCGAAGTAGATGTGCTACTTCTGTTTTCACCGTGGATTTGACGCGCGCCGTGTAACAGCGGGGGCGTCGAGCGAACTGTAGCGAATAGCCTCTTTTTATAGTGTTCAGCACCCATTCTGTTACCCCAGGAAGCTGTGCCCACACTTTCGCGTGAATAGCTAGGGGTAGAATGAGATCTGGGCTCTGGCCGTGACATAGTGACGGCAAGGGAGCTCCGGCGTGCTGTAGCGCAGACACTGTGTTTACAGTTTGTGAGGCGGGGGGTGCGCCGATCGCGGCGGGCAGCCTGGCCGCGCTCAAATCCCTTATAGCAGTTTGCTGAGGGAGAGAGATCGGGGCGAGCCCCGTGGGGCTCAACATGTCTGTGAGTGAATGTGGGCTCGGGACAGCGGGCACATTTACTGCACTGAAAACACCGTCGGCCTGAGCTGACTGAATGTGTGTTGGTTTCGTTTTTACAGAACCCGTGGGACATGTGGTGTGTAGTGTCTGTGGGCACTGAGACGTGGGCACATTCACTACGTTTAGTGCACAATCGACATGAGGCGATTTTGTTTGTGCGAGCCCTGCATTTTTGTGGGCTGTGTTTGTGTGTAGAAATGAGCACTGGGTTGTGGGCATTTTTATTACACTCATAACACCATCGGCTGTGGCCGGAACACCAGAAAATACACTGCTTATGTGATTTATCTGGGTCGCCGTGGAAACAGCATTTGTGTGCAGGCAAGCGGGCCGTGGCACTGGCTTGCTTACTGCAAAATACACTGGAACAGTCGCATTTTCTGTAACTGAACGAGCGAAAAATTTTTGCTGCAAGTCTGGCCGCGGCGAGACTAAATTTCTGTCTGCTGCGAGAGCCGGGATCGAACACGGGTCTCTCGCGCGAAGGCTTCGGGTTCCGCCACTGTGCCACAGGGGAGAACTACATTAGCACAAGCAGATAAAAGAGCGTCATCACAGTTTTGTGTGTGTGGGCGTTTGTTTGCAGGTGTGCGTGTTATACAACAGGCTCATTGCTGCAATAATGACATTTTCAGCCGCTCAAACTAGGAGCTGAGAAATGTTTGAGAAATGGAGATTAGTCCGGCCTCGGCGGGACTAAAACACACTCTTTTCTCATTTTGTCGGTGACGCACGCCCATGGGGGGCGGGGTAGATTTCTTATAACGTAAAGAAAGCTAGCCGCGGTTTTAGGGCTCGCGGTCTTGATGCTGGCCCGTTTCCCTGACGACTCGCGGACAGAAGGGGGGAGGTCCACAGAGCTCGCCCAGTCCTCACTGTCCGACGCCAGGATAGAGCAGCAGGTCTCCTCTACAGATCCAGCTATCTCGTCGTCATTAATGGCGGAAGCGGCGGCCGTTATCTGTCAGTGAGCGACTCGAGTGAATCTGGTGAAGCTGGCGGGCGAACCGGCGAGCTTTCATGGGCTGGAGAAGGCTCGGGGACCCGCTGAGTACGGCGCTTTTTTACGGCGCGGCACTGCAGCGGGTGGAAGTGCAGTCTCGCTGAAGGATGCCAGGCGAGTCCTCAGAGTCACCGTAGGCAATCGCTCGCAGTGAGGGCAGCCGCCGTCGGCGAGCGCGAGAGCTGCATGATCCTCTCACAGGCAGGAAACGCAACACATGGCGGTCCCCGTCGCTGAGTGTGGCTCGGCACGAGCCACAGGAGGATGGCATCTTTAAAAAGACGCGGCTCTTTTAGATGATAGACGTGTGAGTCGCGGGGCGAGCACACACACACACACACATACACACAGAGCAGAGTAAAGGATATATAGTACGCCGGAAAGCGCAGCAGGTACGGCGGCTGAAGGCGGCGAGGTGAAGGCCAGCGACTTCAGGCTCGAGGGCTCGTCCCGCTGAAGGCTTGCGTCGACGGCGCGGCTTCTCACTCCGGATCCAGCGATGCGTGAGGCTTCGCTGAAGAGATGAAAATCAGTGTACCAGCCTTATCGAGCTATATTTATAGGGCGAGACCACACCCTTTCTGGCGGGACGTGACGAAATGGGCGCGAAGTGCCCCCATTGGTCAAGACGTCACGCAGAGCCGCTCTCGATAGGCTGCTGCTTTTGCCGCAGAGCAGCCAATAGGCGCGCGAGCCGCCTCGCCTATGTCTGCTTGCTGCCGCAAAGCGTTTTGCATTGATTAAAAATTAAGGATAATTTTTGGCTTCAATCTCGAGGAAAAGAGGTTTTCCCCATAGCGTAAGATATTACGCAGTACGAGAGATACTCTCGTAAGAGAACATTAAAGAGGTCATGACATAGATTTTGTTTTAATGTTCCTTGAGGTTCACTTATATGCTAATGTAAAAAAAAAATTGCACACAAAAAATCGTGCGGGAAAAAAAGTGATTCTTTTCATTCTGGCCCTGTCTGAAATGATCCGTTTTAAGGGGCGGCTCAAACCGTATTAAAAACCTCTGTCAAAAGATCAAGGCAAATCTGATTTCTCATCCCTTTAAGAAATAAACTTCAAATGTAAGTAGTGACATTCATCTTAAAGAACAGATCTGTAATATTTAATATTATTATTAATATATTACATTCTGTGAGAAGTTTTTGCATCTTTATGTCGGCAGTGTTTGAATTCGTTACCCAGATTACTCTTGATAAAATATAAGAACATTATTTTGTTCTCTAAATAATGTCTGCAACTATGTTAAAACTATTTCATGTGTATAGCGGCCCCTAAAACATTTGCGCTACACTTCAAGTCTTCTAAAGTCTTATGTTTCTATGAGGAACAGACTGGTTTTCACTGAAAATCTTGCCATATGCACTAGCTCTCCTGATGTCTTCAGCATACAGTTTAAAAAGAGAAACCTGGACATTTTGCTTATCTAGCGTGTAAATAACTAATGACAAATATCAACTGACAAAAATTATACATATGGTCAGTGACACAAATTTGAGTTGGTAATGATTGGATTTTCTTTCTTTTTTTTTGGGTGAACTATTTCTTTAAATGTCATAAATCTCCATGCATCATTACTCTCGTCTTTTTAGACATGCACAGTATTTGAGAGCTTTTAATACATTTTATTAGCTATTACTTCCTTATTTCTTCATATTTACACTTAATTGTAAAGCATTTAGATCTATGTTGGCTTTATGAATGTTCTGGAAAAAGTTAAGGCTAAGGCAGGAACAAAAAAAACTTGACATGTTCCATTTTTGCGTGTTTACAGGTTACAGATATGATGCAGAAAGCGTTGTTTGACTTTCTGAAGCACCGCTTTGAGGGAAGGTAAGTCTTTAAGCCGTTTCTCTTCGTCCTTCACCCTCCTTAGGGATAGTTTATATATTTGTGTGTGTATGTCACGTGAGTGTTCAGTGTTTCTTAAAATAGTCACATCTCATTGCCTTAATTGGCCATGCTGGTCCATAAACACAGCTGGGTCACATGCTTGTACCTTCCCTTGACTGCAGTTTTCCCGACACGAGTCATCACTGCTCTGTAGTTCCAGTATGACATTGAAAAAAAAAATCTGTTGGTGAATGTTTTGGTTTATCTCATTCAGTTCATTTTGAAATCTGTTTTTTTTTTTTTTTTTTTTTTTATAAACTCTATCCTGACCAAATTCACATGATTTGAAATCCAGTTAATTTAAAAAAAATGCATATCATACTAATATTTTTCATCTGCGACATGTATATGTAAAGTCATGTACAATGGATGCAAAGATACTAATTTAATGTCTTCTTCTAGTATCTCCTAGACAAGAAAAATAATAGAAGACTGGATAGTGAGAAACGGATGTGTGCAGTGACTAATTCCACTGTAGTTTAAAACGGAAATCTTGTAAAAACTAGTGTAAAACTAAGAAAGCCTCAGAAAACATTGTGTTTAATGCATTTGAAATATTAGTATTCCATAGCCAAATACACAGAAGCTATGCACAGAGTTCCAGATCTAGATTCAGGACATTGGTAATCGCTGCTCTCACTGTCTCTTTCACCCTTCTTGTTTTCTGTAACTCAGGATATCAATCACAAGGGTGGCTGCTGATATTTCTCTGGCCAAGCGTTCCGTGCTGAACAACCCCAGTAAACACGCCATCATTGAGCGCTCAAATATACGCTCCAATTTAGGTTAGTGAAAGTGTTTGAATTTCTTTTTTATTTGGTATGATGGTTTGGTGTGAAATGGTGAGACTTAGGAATTAAACAATTTCCTTCAGAGGCATTCTGACGTTCTTGATTACATGAATTGTAATCTCTTTTACAGTTTTTATTATTGAGTTTACTTTCTACAGTATCCAGAAGACATATAGGCCTACACACTTTCACACATAGAGTAGGTATATTTGTCACAGCATGTACTCAAATCTGGAAATGATTTTGAACAGTGCAGAGGAATATGAAGTTTAGGCAGTTCAATTTTATGTTATTTTCTCATCTATTGAGAAAATAAATTCTAGCATTCTAGCAATGTCTTATTCATTGTTGAAGAGAATTTATTTTTATTTTTTTTGGTTGAGACACCTACCAAGGGAGTTGATTAAGGAACTATATATATATATATATATATATATATATATATATATAGGAACTATATATAGTTCCTTAATCAACTCCCTTGGTAGTCGCTCAACCAAAAAATATATATATATATTGAGAATCATATTTTTTGGTTTCAAACAGAGACTCACACAATTCTAAAAAATAAAATAAACAATCTAATTTACTTCTGACAGTAATTTAGGTTCTGACAAAATGTTAAATGCTGCAGTCTATTTAAAATGTTTAATTAATCTGAATTATTTCAATGACTCACTCATAAATACTTGACTTGTTTCATTACTGGATGACTGCATTCTTGAACAAATCTCTTGAATGATTCAATGACAAATAAAAAAAATGTAAAGGATAATTCCGGTATTTAGCACTTTGAGTCTATTTTCTAGTTTGTTTTGAATGAACTAGAGTGGTGGACACAGAAATTTTGACGATGGGTCCTGTCTCGACTTTTTGACTATTTTAGAATCGCCTCTGAGTGCTTCAGAGTGGCTGTCTATGGGCATGCTCAAACATGTCCTTAAAACAACCCTTAACGTTCGTTTTCAAAACTGTGCAACTCACCGAGTGGTTAGTGGTGTTGTAGTTGATGTTCCAAAACAAGTAGCGTAGCGAAATACACTTTCTGTCGTGTTTTTATTTGGCATTTTGTAAAATCGCATGATTTCTGTTGGAGGACTCAGTGCTCGTTGATATTACTGCGCTACCGGAAACGGAAAGGGGTCTGTATACATTTGGTTGTTGTCTTTTCACTCGGTTCTCCGTCTCTCAGAAGGCTAGCGTGAGCTGAGCAACTGCAGCAAAGTGGTTGTCGCCATAGACATAATAAATATGTCTATGGTTGTCGCCATCAAGTGGTCGGGAGTGTGCTAACGCTTCAGACTAGAGGGCTGCATTGGGATTGAGTCCCGCCGGGTCCCGCGGTACCCAACGCAAATCTCGCGGGAGCGGGCGGTTTGAACTTTGCTGCGGGCGGGAATGGGCGGACAAATAAAACCCCTGCGGGATCGGGAGGTAGCCTAACGACATGATGGAGATGTCAATGATGTGGAAAAGAACCTTAAACGAGGTATTTACAGTACAAAACCTGAGCAAGGCAAGTCTGACATTTACTATTCATCTTCCTGATCAGTGCGTCAGAATACATGCAGGCCAGGGAAACGAAACCAACAACCCCATGGATCTCTTTAACAATAGCAATACAAATACGCGTTTTTTTCCTGCGGGACGGGAGAAGACACAAAGTCAGTGCATCTCTATTATTGTGCGGGAATAAATTCTCCGAGTTTTGCGGGTGCGGGCGGGAGTGGACATACATATTGCGGGAGCGGGCGGGAGTGTAACACATACGTTGCGGGAGCGGGCGGGTCAAAAATTCGGCGGGCGGGAGCGGGATGAAGAAAACAGTCCCGCGCAGGACACTACTTCAGACTCAAATATCAAGCCGAAGTTTATACGCGGTTGTAAGGTATCTGAAAAAATAGTTCCACTATAGCAAAATACCACGGAATGAAATCATACATTGCGCCGATATATTTGTTTTTAATCATCAACGAACACCACTAACCACTCGGTGAGTTGCACAGTTTTGAAAACGAACGTTTAGGGTTGTTTTAAGGACATGTTTGAGCATGCCCATAGACTGCCACTCTGAAGCACTCAGAGGCGATTCTAAAATAGTCAAAAGTCGAGACAGGACCCATCGTCAAAATTTCTGTGTCCACCACTCTAGCTCATCCAAAACAAACTAGAAAATAGACTCAAAGTGCTAAATACCGGAATTATCCTTTAAAGGAACACTCCGACTTTTTTGGGACTTTAGCCTATTCACCTTATCCCCCAGAGTTAGATAAGTCCATACATACCTTTTTCATCTCCGTGCGTGCTGTCTGTTTGATGCACCCACCGCTAGCCTAGCTTAGCACAAAGACTGGATGTAAATGGTTGCAGCTAGCATAGCATACTAATCCAAATAAGTGACAAAATAACGCAAACATTTTCCTATTTACATGTTGTGATTTGTATAGTCACAGAGTGTACAAAAAACAAAGTCACATGAGACACAGACATATTTTAACCGTATAAATACTGGGAACTATATTCTCTGAAGGCGAAGCACTGCTACTTGGGCGGAGTGATAACCGCAGCACCTGAGACGCGCTCTCTGCTCCTCACCACGGCTCGTCTCAGGTGCTGCGGTTATCACTCCGCCCAAGTAGCAGTGCTTCGCCTTCAGAGAATATAGTTCCCAGTATTTATACGGTTAAAATATGTCTGTGTCTCATGGTGGCGTAACAATGTAATTGATATAACCATTGAAGCACCAAGTTACTTTCAAAAAGTGATTTGCTTTGTTTTACCTTTACACTTTCATTTGTGTGTGTGTGTGTGTGTGTGTTTATAGGGGAGGTACAGAGTGAGATTGAGAGGATCTTTGAGCTGGCTCGGACATTGCAGCTGGTAGTTCTTGACGCGGACACAATAAACCACCCAGCCCAACTGGGAAAAACTTCTCTTGCACCTATTATTGTCTACATCAAGATCACCTCTCCAAAGGTACACACATAGATAACTCATGGATATTTGTGTGAAAAACCTGTTCTCTCACTGACTATCCCTTGTGAAAAAGAAACTCACTTTAGCATACTTTTAAAATGAGTGCTAATTACAGAAATAATATCCTTTAAAAGAACATACTTAAGTGCGAACTGAATATAGTTAGACACTTAATTACAATTAAATGAAAATGTCTAGTTTAATTTTTTTTAATGCAATTAGCCGAACTTTACAATGCTTTTTGACCCACTTAAGTAGGACTTAAGTAGAACTTTATTAATCTACAACATTAACATCCCCTTCCCCTCAAGACAACGTCTGTTCTCTTCATGACGTGTCTCGGCGGAGGGTGGGACTAAATATCTTCCACCACTGACTGCAAACTGCCATTCAGATCTGCCTCCATTTAGTTTGCAACGTCCAACTTCCTTTAAGACTTTAAGAAACAGTAATGAAAGTGTACTCTCTTTAAACACACTTAAGTGCCGTACTGCCGTTTTATTTCATTAATATTATGTTATCTGCCAGTACACTTTTGGGGGGAAAATATTTCTAAGGTTTGAAGTACATTTTCGGTGTACATTTAATACAATTAAGCACACTTCTTTTTTACAAGGGACCCTGATTGTCTCTCACATTGTCTGTCGTTCAACAATGAAATTTTGCTGAAATATTGTTTCTGGCTTGTCCATCTTTCAGGTTTTGCAAAGGTTAATAAAATCTAGAGGGAAGTCTCAGGCAAAACATCTCAATGTACAGATGGTGGCAGCAGACAAATTAGCCCAGTGCCCTTCAGTGAGTTTACACACACACACACACACTTTTAAATAATTTATAACAAATGAACTCCCAAAAGTTCACAAATATTAACTGTATAAACAAAAAATTGTTGTATAACTTAAATTGTGATTTCTTCTAGATTTACTAAACTTTCATTATTTAAAGAAAAAGTTTACTTTATCCCAAAGTGATTCTCTCCCTTGATAGTTGATATTTGTCATCGCTAAATAATTTTACTTGATGTATTTTGTATAACTAGCCAAACTAATTTGTGTGTAAAGCAAACATTTTATAAATAATTACTTAAGATACAACTGACATTTTCCACTCTCTAACAACTGATTTTCCTGTTCTTGTTCTCCATCCAGGAGCTTTTTGACATAATTCTGGATGAGAACCAGTTGGAAGACGCCTGTGAGCACATGGCTGATTACCTGGAGGCGTACTGGAAGTCCACTCATCCTCCCAGTGACACTCTGCTAGAAAAGCTCAGCACAGTGGCTGGAGCTGCAGAGGCCTGCGAGGAAGCGCCGTCTAATCCACAACTAAAGGTGCTTATGAACCTTCAGTACAGTTTAATAATCTCTTGTCATGTTTAAAAGAAGTACACTTATTTGAATGTGTTGACTAACAAACTAAAGCACAAGTACTTGATTATAATTCTAACTGCAGTGTGTGTTATTCGATATTACATTTAAAGTTAATATATTTTCAATGTATGAAATTGCAACTTCATTACAGATGTGTAATTACAAATATATTTAAAGCTGCATGCCGTAACTTTTTGGGGTTAAAAATGATCCAAAATAGATTTTTGTGCCAGTACATAACCAGCCAGTGTTCAAAACTATGTGCTTGCCGTAGATCGATTCAGAACGGTAAAATTTGTAATAATGTTTTTAATTCCAGTGGTACTGGTGGATTTCCGCGGGAGATTCAAGCATGTCTTTGCGTCATTACGTCACATCTGTACACATAAAGAAGGAGTCTCGGCTAGTATAAGCTATATTGCGAGTGAGGATGCTGGAGGTGGAGATTTATAGCCTTTTCTCACAGCACTTGATATAATTAAACTTATCAATTTGATGGCGGATCCAGAAAGGTTCAAACGACAATCACCAGTGTCAACAGATTCACTGTTAAATGCAAAAGACTTCGGAGTTGCTACAGAAAAAAAGAGACTGCATCCGGACCCATGCGAAAACAAGGATAAATATCGGAAGGGCATTAAATGTAGTCACGCAATGCTGATGTTGTTAACATTAACAATTTGAGAACAAAGAATAATTTGCATGGTTTTACGTGATATGATAAGCGATTGTTAGATTTAATCAGCGCGATTTACTGCAATGCTTTTTTTCCCTTAGTTGGTCAGAACAAAAGTGGATGTTACTTACTTGTTCAGATGACATTTTCCAGTGAAAATTATTATGTTGGTCATACTTCCAAAAAGAATAATCTGTGATTCTGAATGCCAGTATCCACACCGGCGCGGTGACTGACAGCCACACACTCTCCTCAAACATTGGATTCATCCGCGTTGTGCCGTGTCGAGGCACAACTCACGTAAAGTTGATAACAGCGAATAACTGCAATTGCAGATTTCGAACAGAGATGGCGACAGAGGAAAAACTACGGACTGCAGCTTTATAAACATGACATACATGTTTGAATAGAAATTACATTCATGTATATTTTAGTTTACTATAATATGCATGTCAGTATATCCGGCAGTACACTTTACCCATTTTTCAAACACAATAAAAGTTATTATGGAATTATAATATAGTATTTTAAAAATATAAGATTTTAATAGATTTAAAAAATATATATATAACTCACTTACTCACTCATCCTTATTTTTGTCATTATGTCAAGATTTTTTTTTCTGGACTACACATCTCTTTTATTTCATAACGTTGCAAGTTAAAATGTTTTATTCACTTAATTCTGTAGATGCAAAAAGTTAAATTGCATTTTGAACAAAATTGGCAGTAATTTATCTCATTTTAAAAGTATTATTTAAAAAATACCAAGTATTCTTAATCTTAAACAGATACATATATATATATATATATATATATATATATATATATATATATATATATATATATATATATATATATATATATAAAAAAATAACCACACATGCTTTTGAATATTGCTTGAGCTAAATAGTGTAGACTGCTTAAAGGTACACTATGTAACTTTTTTGTTCAAAATTAAAATTCAATACATTAACAGTCAATACATTACAATACAATACAAGTCACAAAACACAGCTTTAACAAAGATTAATCTATATTTAATTTATACAGTGAACACCATAGTGTTATTTTAAATTCAGGCCTAATTATATACACTACAGTTAGACTACTTTATTTTTTAATTGTTATATTATATTTATATATACTCAATTAGTGTATTTGATCACTGACTGTTCACTTGCCTTTAATAATGTTTGAACTTTATTAAGCTAGTTTTGCTGTGGTATCAAAGTTCTTAAAATGTGCTTTAAGTTATGAATGGAAAGCAGTTACATTTGCCACCCCCGCTCCCAAAAAACATTTTATATTGCTGATCAGAAAAATGATCCGACCATTGAATCAAAAACTGTAAAATGATCCGAACCGTGAGTTTTCTGATCAGTTGAACCACTAATGTCTATTAATGGGTAACGCTACAGTAACGTCTTCAGCTAGTGAGCTTGAGATCTTTTCCATCTAAACTAGTTATATCTCTTAAGCCTAGTAGTGAAAGTGCAGATGGATGTGGTTGTGGTCCCCCAGAGCCAAAGCACACCCAAAACAATGTTCTTTCACAAAATACATGCAGTTTTTTCTTTTACGGCTAGAGGGCCAAAAGTTACATAGTGTACCTTTTCAATCAAGCAATTTTCAGAAACAGTCGCAACAAATAAAATTCGTAATAATCCTGAATAAAAGTCACAAACATTACACTTGTAAATAAACATATATTGATTTACATATAAATGGGCCATCTATTAACTAAAAGTGCATCGTCTGAGTTTCCAGTGTTGACAGCTGTTGGGAGCGTACGTAGCTGTGTAAACTATTATCAAGACTCTAACTTTAACTTTAACCGCTATCACAGTTACAAGCCATACTCCGATTGTAACACTTCATGTTGTGATATTCATGTTTTTGCGAATATGCTTATTGTTCTGTTGACAAACACTGCTGCTGCTCAGACTGAGGAGGTTACTCCTATTAAAGACTAGTAGCCTCAGTCACGGTGAGTGTGTGCGTACGTGCAACACTGACGCTTGGTCACGATTTCATTTGAACAACTTCAGAATGGTGACATTTCATTAGGATTTAGCCTGAAGGAATTACTCACCCAAAAACCCAAAATGAAAATATTGTCATCATTTACATCAAACCCATATTATATTTTTTTCTGTGAAACGCAAAATAATTGAAGCTGCTGTTTTCCAGACAAAGGGCAAGTTTGAATATGCAAAGCACAAATGAGATTTATGTGCACAAAGCTTTTTTTAATGGATGTTTATATGGGCTACTATTTATGGTACTTTGGAGCTTTTTGTCATTTCTTTTTTTTTTTTTTGAAGCATATGTGCTTTCATTATATGTAAAAGACCAGCATCCACCTCCATTTTTCCACAGGGGAAAGAAAATCATATTTGAAATTGCATAGGGATATGTAAATGAGGTCGGTTTTGGGTGAACTATTCCTTTGATCTTATTGTTGACTTTTAAGCTTTTTAATATGGAGTTATTACATTGGCATTCTAGGAAGAGTGGTAGTAGATTTAATGTGGTTTGTAGTGATTTGCAGTGACTTTTTAAAGACTTGCATGTACGTGTGTGTTGTGTGTGTGTTAAATAACGATAATTTTGGTAACATTTTACAATAAGGTTTCATTTGCTAACATTGGTTATCTAGTTGATACTACTACCTAACAATGATAAATACTTCTAAAGCATTTTTTAATCATAATGTAAAGACAAGACACTACAGGCAAACCCATTGTTATTTCATGCACTGGTCAATTTTGAGATTTTGGCCTGTTTGGTCTTCCATAACATGTCTTTTTTTCAGAATAGTGGAAAGAAAACATCCAGAATACACTTTTAAGAGTTTATTTTATTACACTTAATCTATTTGTGTCTTTATATTTAGATTACAGTAAATATCTTTAAAGGCAGTGAGTTAAAAATATCCAGTTGACTGCAGTTTCTGATTTATGGAGTGATTCAAAAAAGAGCTATCCAAAATCCCCTCTGCAAAAACTTTTAACTCATTATGTCAACAAAATGAAACAAGAATGTTGAACTGGGCTTTATCCAATGTTCAGATTTATGTTCTGGAAATGCAGGCAAATTAGTGCATATTAGATAATGCCTCAATTGCATATTTAAACGCATTTTAGAAAACTGTGATTAATCAACTGGGGAAGTATGGTGACGTCTATTAGTAAAACTTCTACATTTACCTGTAGTGTCTTGCCTTGATTTCAACATTTACTAATACATTATTAAAATAAAGTGTATCTGTTTAATGGACCTGAGCAAACATGAACAAAGATTGATGCATATTGTAGCAAATGTATAGAGTGGTGCAGGTATGATGTCACTTTATAGCAGTTCGCATCACACTGGTTCCCTCGACAAAATCCTAATTGGATTTTCCCCTAGGCTTTTGGATTATCGCAAAAAACAAGCTTTGTGATCAACAAAAGTTTATGATACTTGCATGTTTTGTCCATCAAGATTTCCACAGATGAACACAACTTTTAAAGCCTAAATGCAGTCGCCAGAAATTAAAAGCTAAAGGAGGCTATAAACAAACTACATCAACGTCACCATCACTAAGCTTCTGACAACTGTTTCAGTTTTTATCAAAAAACATTTTCCCAGCGTTTGAGTTAGAATAGTTTATAAGAACTATAGGGCTTGAACGACTTCAGATTTTTTGAAGTCGACTATGACATCAAAGTCGAGTCGACATCGACTAGTCGATGACGTCATTCATAAAAACACAAGAGATGGGACTGCTTTGCAACATGCCACAATTTACAAGTAATTAACAGAAAATTATAGCTACAGATGCTGACTGACAGCTCATAATGGGGCCGTTTACACCTGGTCACTTCATGCGTTTTTACTGATCTGATTTATCAAAACGATTCCATTTAGCTTACACCTGGTGGTCACATAAATATGTTTTCGCAAAACAGATCTATATCCGATCTTCAAACAACGCGCTATGCAGATTTAACGGAGTTCACGTCACCGAAAGCAACAATAATGAGCAGCATTTTATTGATCATCAGCTAATTTCAAAATCAAAGGCCGCAATAAGAGAGACAGCACTGGTAAGATCATTTTGTTTCTTTACTTTTAATGAAGATGATTGTGTGTTAAGCGTCTGCGACTTATTTTCACTTTGATTTGCGATAGTTTGCACGTTGGCTTGATGAATAGATGCTCGAGCTGCTCATATGCGGCGATTCGTGTTGCCATAGCTTCATTGCTATAATACGCTCTCACACGTTTATTTTTAGCATTGTTGGGAGAAGTCCAATTTACATATGTGGTTTCAACAACCAGATGCATTTACGCTTGTCCAGTTTCGTCTGGTAAGCGGCCCAGACCTCCACCTGAAGCGGTTTGAGCGATCGGATTTAAATCCGTCTCGAGTGCGTTTCGGAGGGCATTTACACCTGGTCTTTTCACGATCGGATAGCTATCAGATCACAGAAACACATGAAGTGGCCTGGTGTAAACAGCCCGCAGTTACATAATCGTTTAGGATGAAAAGAAAAAAGAAAAGGAAAAAAAAGCTATAAATTCACATCTGCGCCTTAGTGATGCGCAGATCCAAGTAATACAAAATAATATTCTTAATTGCGGGTGAATTAGCTACATCATTAATATGTTTAAATAAATAAATGAAAAAAATAATAATAATGCTTTAATGATTTTAATAAAGATACTGAACTCTCATTTCCGGTAAAACAGTGAGCGTGCTTCATGCTTTTACTTTCGTTTTCAACAATATAGTGGTTAGAGTATTTACACACACTTGATGTACTACCAATGCTGCTTTCTTGATGCAATGACCCTCTGGGCTCTTCGTCTGTTGTCGTCTGCAACATGTTAGTATCAAAATTGGCGCAATCATAGTGTCACGTGATCAACGCGACTAGTCGACGTCAGCTTAAAGCGTCGCGGTATTTCATTAAGGTCGACTAGTCGGTTCAACCCCTAATAAGAACACATTTATAATCACAATGAGTCTGTAAATGCGGACTGAGTTTACCTGTTCACCATGATGATGTTTAATCTCCCTGACAGCCTCTGTAGTCGCATTTAGCCACTTGTTAGCAAACGCCTTTTTCAAGACACATAACAGCTTAAAAAAAATCATGAGTTGGGTAATACTGATGTATTTTATGTTGTAGAATAAAACGTAAAAGTGTCTTGAGCTTGTGTTCACCACAGACCTTATTTCAGCCATTTAACCAAAACTCCATTCAAAAAACCCGTTGACTTCGAGACGATGGAACTGGACGTGCTAAAATGCTAACTCGCTTCCGCGTTCTGGCCTACAAAATGATGTCATACCTGCAACACTCTGTTGCTCATTGTTAGTTAATGCATAAACTAATGTTAATTATAGGGATAGTTTACCCAAAAATGACAATTTTCTATTAATTTACTCCTCCTCAGGCCATCCGAGATGTAGGTAGACTACAGGTAGACTTCTTTAATGTTCAGTAGCTGAAATCGTAGTCCTTAATGGTTCATATAATGCAAGTCAATGGCTACCGTCACTTTGAGAGTCAAAAAAAACATATACAGGCAAAACAAAATTAATACCTGACGATTCATTGAGGTCTTGTGAAGCGAAACAATCAGTCTGTGCAAGAAACTAAACATTATTTACAACATTATTACCTGTAATCCACAGCCTCGGCACAGCCTTTTGTTTTGCCTGTATGTTTTTTTTTTTTTTTACTCAAAGTGTTTGACTTTGACTTAGCCATTGACTTGCATTATATGAATCATCAAGGACTACGGTTTCAGCTAAAACTCTTCTTTACTGTTCTACTGAAGAAAAAAAGCCCCCTACATCTTGGATGGCCTGAGGGTGAGTAAATCAACAGCAAATCTTCATTTTTGGGTGAACTATCCCTTCAATGAGACCTCCCTATTGTAAAGCGTTACCAAAATTTCAAGGAAAACATCTTGGAACGCTGCTTGCTGGAAGGACCTTGTGAAGTTATCCCAGAGGATGATCTTTGGTTGGGTTTCAAACATATTTTTAGAGAAAAAAAAACAGTTCCAAGGCGCTTCTTCCAGACGAAAAAAGTTAAAAAGCCTTTATTCACACATCATGGCAAATATTTTTTTATTTTTCTACTGAGAGCCATGATGTGAATAAAGGCTTAACTTTTTTGGACTGGAAGAAGTGCCTTGGATCTTTTTTCTAAAGATACCAGATTTTGTCTTGTTTTCCAGTCAAAATATATAAACATCCTTGCAATTGTGGGTGTGCAAATCCATATAACTGCATTGTTTTATGCGCGTGTTGCTAAAACAGGGCACAGGAGGTGACCAGGAGGCAGATCGACCAATGGGCGACAGGACAGGCTTTTCTGAAAACCATCATCATCATCATCATCATCATCACTACCAAAATCAGAAGCAAGAAAGTTTGGAAGAAGACAACACTGAGGAGAGAAATGCTAAAGACCAACAACAGTTACAGAGTGAATGGAGAAGTAGTCACAAACATCACAATTCCTCAACCACGCGGACTGAACACCACAGTCATCCTCATCATCATCACCGCCATCACAATCGGACCATGCGGACATTTTCCAAACAAGAGACGTTAGAGTCCACGTATCCCGAGCCTCTTGCTGGACAAACACAGACTCACAGAGATACGGAGGAACTGGACCCGTCGATTCAGCCAAACCATCATCACCATCACCATCATCGCGGGGACAAAGAGAAGGAATACGACCACAACGAGAGGAACTGCAGACAAAGAGGAAAGCCCAGATCGCAACGAGAACATCACCATGAGAGGGACAGGAAGCGAGGCGAGGGGGAATGGGCGAGAGAGCATTACATAGAGCAGTGATACAAACACACACTCTTCCATGGCCTTTGATTGGCCTCACGTCAATGTTGTGTGTTTTTACAGGGCAGTGTAATGTTTATGACACGTGTATCCATACAAGTTTTTCTCCAAGTGTGGACAAATTAAAAACAGTTATATATTAATTTAATATGGCATGAATGATGAAATTGTCTCTTTCTTTAAAGGTTGCCTATTTATTTTTTTATTTGCATTCCTGGTCTTATTGAATGAATCATGGGTGGATGTTATTCCAAAAAGAAAATCAAAATCAAAATCCAATAACTTGCTCTGCCTCTGAAATGTCACGTATGCGAGTGACATTTTCAGAAATGAACGCAAGTAAAAATTCCAGCGAAAGTGACAAAAACGGCAAAATGTGCCTCGTTTAGAAATCTGCTTGTTTGTTTGTATCTGATGTATTTCCTAAAATTCTAGTTTGATATAATTAAATTACTAGTAATTATTTTAATTATTATTTCGCTGTTGTTCTCGCATATTCTGTTCTCCCAGAAAGATGTCACATTACAGAGGTAAAATGTGTCGTGAATGCCACATCGTGTTGAATTCTCAACTGCATCTTCACTGCTGTTTTAACAATATAGTTTATTTATTATATGTTGTGTGGATGTCATTTAGAATTGTTATTTAATGGTAACTACTTGTGTGTTAAAGGTGTGTATTACCTTGCATATAGGATAAAGACATTACAAAAAAAATGACATGATAGTTTTGGTTTGCTTAAACTTTTGTCCTGACGAATTGACCAGGAGTTAATGAAATGCCACAGTTAAATTAAAAGATGATGATTTTTAGCTGTATTGTCTTTGAATTGCTAGAGATTTGAAAGCTGCTCATAGAGAGTATTTTAGGATTTTGGAGCGTTTTACATCAAGATGTGTTATTTGAGCTGTAACGTTGTCTTTTAGCAGTGGGACTTATGTTTTTATAGTCTTGCAGCTGGTTGTTTCTGGTTTTGGATCACTAAATTTGTCAGGGCGGAGACAAAAAAACCCCGGTTAATTCAAACATGGTCTTTCAAAGACTTATTCAAATAAGTCATATCATGAAAAATTAATGAATTTCCATGATCTTTTGAAGAAAAACAAACTGTCAAATATAATGTGCAAACATAGAAGAAGAAAAAAAACAGCGATTTGTAAAAATGTGTTATTCAGTCATTTTGATTGTTGTGACTTTTAAAACCAGCCACAGAATGAGGGAACAGCATCTGCTATCTAGATACTTCTGGCCATCATTTGAAAACTGATGAAAATTGTCAGACATCTATTTGAATTACACAACTATTTGTCACTCCGAATTTCAAAATTACACATACAATTGTTTTATTGTCGATTAAATATATTTCATTTATGTATTATATTGATATAACATTGAGGCCTGGTTTTGGAGACATGGCTTAGATTAAGCCTTAGTTAAATTAGGAAATTTAAGTAGCTTTTATAAACGTGCCTTAGAAAAAAATCATTACTGGTGTGTATCTTGAGACAAAACAATGGCACTGAGATATTTTAAGATAAGTCAGTGCAAGTTGCTTTCAGTTAAAACCCCTTACACATACAATTAAGTCTGGGACTAGCTTAAGACTTGTCTGTGAAACCGGAGGAAAGTGTTTGCATTTCCCATTCGTTTTGATGCAATAATACAGAATCTGTAGTCTGTTGAGTGGGTAAAATGAGTAAAGAGTATTGTCATCTAGATATTGCTGATAATAATATACTCACAAACCTAATAATTACACAGGGTAGTCGTTGATTCTATGTGATTCTATGCAGTTGTGCTCATAAGTTTGCGGAAGTGGCAAGATGTTTATCATTTAAAAAAATAAAATAAGGATCATAAAAAGTTTTTGTATTATTATTATTGTATTAACATTTATTGCACAAATGATCCTGTTCAAAAGTCCTCTACCTCCCCTATGATCTTATTATGCTCTGTAACATCTTTCATATTCAATGGCTGTTTGTATGTAATGTGATAGTTGTTCACAAATCCCAGATTTTTCTGGGATAGTTAAACAGTGACTGTATGATGCCGAGATCCAGTTTTTTACCCTGGACGATCACGCTACTATTACGAAGAAAAATAATAATTCGATGGTCAAGGAAACACACTGCAATAATAATATTGTTTCTTTCGGAAATATGTTAATATATATCTTTTGAAGAGCAGTAAAATGTTGAAATATTTCCCAAAAGAAAAATTCAATCATTTACACAGACCATCCTATTGAAAAGATCGCATCCCCTTGTGTTGTCTTTTTGAGTATCAATAAATGTTTTTAACCTTTGTAATGTAATTTGTGTCCCTCAAATAAGTGATTCAGGCACATGAAAAACCGCTGCAGAAACATCACCTGATATTCTGAAAAATGTAAGTTTTTTTACTTACAATAAAAGTCCAAGGAACCAACTAATTTATATATTTGTTGTGTGTTCAATTTCTAAGCAGATTCTCGGTGACTAAATTATTTTCTATATTTATATTTGTGTAAACTATTCCTTTAAATGTGGGTTTATATATATATATATATATATATATATATATATATACACACACACACAGTATACGTAAATATATCTGACATAAGCAATTAGCTGCAATTAGGGAGCAAGAACTAAATTTGCGATGGCACCAATTGTATACATTGAACCATTTCCCTCCATCTTATTCCAATCCTAAGTTGCCAAATGCATACCATGGTTTCAATTTCCACCAAACAAGACTTGTTTTTTATTTTTATTCTAGACTGTTCGTTGTATCTTCACCAAATTTGATTCAGTTCGGCATTAGATCATGGCAGAAAAAAACATTTAGGCTTCATGATAGTTCAAACCGTTCTCCAATTCTTGGTGATGGCGAGAACAAAAGGCGCTTGAGGCTGTATCTTGGCAATGTTTTAGTGTATTGAAAACTTAAAAGATTGTCATCAATTTCTCACCCTCATGTCGTTCCAAACCCATAAGTCTTTCGTTCATCAACACAAATTAAAATCTTTTTGAAGAAATCTGAGGATTTCTGTCCCTCCATTGACAGCTATGCAACACACTTTGATGCTTCAAAAATTTCATAAAAGAGATTGTAAAACTAATCTATATGAATTGATCGGTTTTGTCCAATTTTTCTGAGGAGACTCGATCACTTTATATGATGGACGGATTAAATTTAGGCTTTTATTCACATATTAACATTGTTATAAAGAGAAGCTCAGCCGAATCTCATTGGTTCTTGCGGAAGCTCAAACGTGCTGCGTAACACGAGAATGAACCTCATTGGTTTTCGCAAGTGAACAAGCTTGAGCTTCTGTTTACCACAACTGATGTGCGAGTTGATGAATGTTTATATGTGAATAAAAGCCTATATTAAATCTTAATTAAATTCATTTAAATATCTTCACTTGTGTTTCGAAGATAAACAAAAGTCTTACGGGTTTGGAATGGCATGAGGGTGAGTAAATGATGACAGAATTATTTTTTTGTAACTCCAGTTTGAATTATTTACTTGTATGTGACTTCTAGGTATTATATGACATGACACAAATGGCTAATGGGCCAAGTCCACAAAAATCATTTATGTTTGGAGATGGTCTGTATTTAAACAAATAGTTCAAGTCTTATAAATGAACTCATTTATTTTAATTTAATACACTGTGCCACAGTCTACAGTACAAATATTTACTAATATGTACAACATTGCATAAAAAAAAGATGAAAACAATACTTGGAAACAAAACGTTAAATGGATGATAAATGGTGTGTATATTAATAATTAAAACCCTGCCAGTTGTTCTGTATTAAGCTTGTGTGCACTTCTTACCATTTTTTATAAACTTGGCAATAAAAAACCCAATAGTATCAGTGTTGGCGTTTTGTAGAAAGCTCTCAGGGGAATGTGCGAAACGAGCTCCTCTCCATGCTAACTCTGGCCGAAATCTCTGTAGTAGCCGTCGTTGGTCACATGACAGACCTGCTCCTTGCATCCCCTCAGATCCTAAATGAGGCACCTGGAAGAGATGAAAAACACAAGGTTTCACTCACTGTTACAGCCGCTGGTATTGGTAAAAGGATTCTTATAAAAAAAATTGTCCAACAGCAAAAGAAACGACTCCATTTCCATGACTTTCCAAAGAGGAAAAAATAATTATGCCAGACTCAAGATTGAAAGATTCAATACTGTTAGCCACTTGAGGTGACTTTCATGTTTAATGTTCTTTGCCTTGTTTAAAGATCCGGTAATGACACTTGATTGTTTCCCTTCGGTTTTGTTCTGTTTTAGCTAGACTTAAAAGTATTCACTACTCAATTTGTTTTGACAGTTCTGGGTTATAACAAAAATGTTTGTAGTTTTAGCAATGTATTTCATTCTTACCTGTGGTTCTAGTGTTAAACAGGGGAATGTCTTGAGAACCCAGGCAACCTGCTCTTCATTCTCTGCAAGCGTCACGGTACAGGTGCTGTACACCAAAACACCTCCCTGTTTTAACAAACGTACAGCCTGCAACACAAATGTCAACCAACAACAGACACAGTCTATAAGCCATAAAAGACTTGCACTGTAACAGGTAGTACACAGCACCACCTTCTGTTCACTGACTCTCAGTGTTTCTGAGAAACACTTTCAATGGGCAGTTAAATAAAATGAGATAGATGGCTCCAAACAGTGTTTATCCTTCCCTAAAACTACTGCAAATCGGTTTCGCTAATGTAAATAAAGTTGAAATAAAATATAAATATTAGATGTAAACCATAAACAAACTAAAACGATAATTAGAAATGTTGCCTTGGCAACTAGCTGCAATAAAAGGTTGAAGTACTAAAATTAATAAATAATTGGCTTTATGCACAGCTTCACTACTTCCTGAACTTCAACCATCCCTTTGTTTCCTGTCTGCCATTAACGTATGTGAGTGATTAATCCAGCTGTGCAAACTGATTAATCCAGCTGTGCCTGGCCTCAGTAACAATAATCAGGCACACCTGGATTAATCAGTTTGTCCAATAATGGCAGACAGGAAACAAAGGGATGGTTGAAGTTCAGGAAGTAGTGAAGCTGTGCATAAAGCCTATTCACAGCTAAATAAAAATATATAAATAAAAGCACAAAAAAATTACTAAAATAAACATGAAAAATATAATAAATACTATACTAGCCTCTGAAAAATAATACTACTGTTCCTAACTTCAGAGACTTTAATTTATGGCGGTGATAAAGACACGGCAACAGCAAGAAGTGGCATAACTAAGTAAGTACATTTTAATAGCTGTTTTTTCCTTCACTGTCAATTAGGGACGACCATAATTAACTGATTAACCGACAATATTAATACTAATTGATGATTAATACTATTATATCAGTTAAACGGCTAAATAAGTTATTCAAAGAAACACGCTACACATATCAGTCAAAATAGTTTTTGAGAGGGAAAAAAAAACATATGTTGTGTATAAGTTGCAGTTTATTGTTACATTCAGAAATAATAAAACACAATGTTTACAAACATAATAAACATGTAACCTACTGTAGGCTATTTTAGTTCCCCTCACTCCACAACAAATCCTTTAAATTGAACAGTATTCAGACCAGAACAAGAATGAGAAATATAAGTAGCTATAAAACACACTAATAATAGTGCCATTCTTTATAAATAACATAAACATCAAGCCAAAATTAATTAATTTAAAGCAAAACTGAAACCGGCAATGTGTTTGGTGGTGCGGTGGGCGCTGATTGTACGAGCAGAGTAACTTGTTATATAATATATACAATAAACTATGTTTGATTTGACTATTTTATTTTGATAATGAACAGGCTGTGATGTCGTGTTAGCAATGCTAGAACTGATATGCGTGTGTGTGTGCGCGCGTGAGGCGCCTGTGGAAAGAACTTAAAATACTCTGTCATTTTTGGTCATGCAGATAAGAGATCAAGACATTCCAAAAACATTGTGTGTCTCAGTTTCCGTGAACTTGCTCGTGACAAAAATAAGCGTACACTACTCGTCACACAGCATTTTAAACTTAATAAAGAATGTTATAAGCAGCATGGAAACCATGGTGGGAAGACAACATGTTCTGGATCAGTAGATGAGTGTTACCGTAGTGAGGAGTTTTCTCTGTAGAGGTTGGTAGGAGCAGACTTCTTTCAGACTCCAGCTGTAGGTCATGTTGGGCCTTTGACCCAGTCCACTGCAGGGAGCGTCTAATAGTATCCGGTCAAAACTCTCCTCAGGATATGGCGGACCATCAACAAATATACACAAAGTTGCAATTAGTAAGTCTACAAAAAGTTTTTAAAAAAATTATGTTGAGCTGAAAATCTGATCTAAACTGAAATTAAAGCTTTTTATAAATAATACACTTGATGGTCAAAAGTTTGCCATGATTAAGATTTTTTAAATGTTTTTGAAAGAAGCCTCTTATGCTTACCAAGGCTGCATTCATTTGATCACAAATATAATAATCAGAAATGTTTATTGATCACTAAATCAGCATATTAGAATGATTTCTGAAGGATCATGTGACACTGAAAACTGGAGTAATGATGCTTTGCATCACAGGAATAAATTACATTTTAAAATATATTTAAATAGAAAACAGTTGTTTTAAATTGTAATAATATTCACAATATTACTGTTTTTACTGTATTTTTGGTCAAATAAATGCAGCCTTGGTGAGGATAAAAGACTTATTTCAAAAACATTTAAAAATCTTAATTATTAAAAACTTTTGACTGCCAGTGTATAAAATTGTAATTATGTATTGTAATTATTAATCACTGTGAAAGAGATTAAAAACAAAGTGATAATAATAATAGGAAATAAGAGGAACCTGAAATGTTTTACGCAAATAACAAGCATGAATAACATGTAAACAGCCCTTAATGCAAATGCGTGTCGCAATAATTCACCACGTGTGAAATAGTTCTAGTAGTTATATTACACTATTAACAGAAAGAAAGAAATTAACTCATTAAAGTATATAATTGAGTGATTATTATGTTTTGTAACACTGGTTTTAGACTATAGAGGTTTACCTGCACTGTATTCCTGAGCAGGGTCAGCGCTTACTGCATGTATGCTGTTACAGCAATATGCTTTAATACAGTCCAACTTCAGCATCTTTGCATTCTGAATGATCTTTTCCATTTTGGATCGGATTTTGTCCAAAGCCACAACAGTACCCTGTAGAGACAGCAAATATATATGAGTTTGTGGTAACAATTTACAATAGGATCCTATTTGTTAACATAAGTTAATGCATTAACCAACAATGGGCAATGAACAATATATTTTTTGTAAAGCATTTATTACTCTTTGTTAGTAAAAATCTAATTGTTCATGTTAGTTCACAGTGCATCAACAAATACTAACAAATACAACCTTGGTTTTTAAAAATGGTTATGCCACTAAGACAATAAAATCACTGTTAGTTCATGTTAAATAGGACACTTATCACAAACCGTCCTTACAGAATTGCTAAAAAACACTCGCCTGGTTTCCCATAAGAGAAGCAATGTGTGTCGTCTTTCCTCCAGGAGCAGCACACATGTCAAGGATTCGCTCTCCAGGACGAGGTCCTAAAACATGACCCACGACCACTGACGGCAGATTCTGTATGAAAAATACAAACACATCAATTCACAAAGACGCCTCGATTTGTATGTATACATGGCTGGAAGGTGTGATTAAACACACACAGAGATCAGAGATCGCGCTGCGCACACACAGAAACATTCAGGAGCACAGAACTTAGCGCTGCCCCGCGACTTTGATTAATAAAAGAGCTTCACTAGTGAATCGCTACGTTATATTTCTCAGCAACAAAAGGTTTTTGAAAATTGCAGCTTCACTATTAGTAGAAAGATGTTGTAAAGACGCAAGTAATTCACACACGCATCTCTCTCTCAATAATTAATTCTAATAAATGCTATAATTCGTTCATTCATACACTACTTTATCTCTGTCAGAATTAAAGTAGGCAGAATGCTAGATCTAATGAGCTGTAACTGACAAAAATATTTTTTTTTACACATATTGTGCTGCAAACATGAATAACAGCTTTAACTGGGCAAATGACCATGATCTACAGGTGAAACTCGAAAAATTAGAATATCGTGCAAAAGTTCATTTATTTCAGTAATTCAACTTAAAAGGTGAAACTAATATATTATATATACTTATTACATGCAAAGTGAGATATTTCAAGCCTTTATTTGTTATACATTTAATGAGTATGGCTTACAGCTTATGAAAACCCCAAATTCAAAATTAGAATATTGTGAAAAGGTTTTCATATCTGTAAGCCATAATCATCAAAATTATAACAAATAAAGGCTTGAAATATCTCACTTTGCATGTAATAAGTATATATAATATATTAGTTTCACCTTTTAAGTTGAATTACTGAAATAAATTAACTTTTGCACGATATTCTCATTTTTCGAGTTTCACCTGTAGATCTTGCTTTGTGCACTGGGGCACAGTCATCCTGGAATAGAAAAAGGCCTTTCCCAAACTGTTCCCTCAAAGTTGGAAGGTATTGCATAGCATTATCCAAAATGTCTTGGTATGCTGAAGTATGCTAAAACCCTTCACTGGAAGTAAGGCAGTTGCATGCAGGTGCTCGGCCATGAAAACCCATTCCATGAAGCTCCCGCCGCACAGTTTTTGTGCTGATATTACTCATGCCAGTGGAAGTTTGGAACTTTTCAGCTATGGAATAATGGAATTAGCAGAGCGTGCTCCTCAGCACCCATTGACCCCGATCTGTGACTTTACAAGGACTTCCACTTCTTGACTGAGTTTCTGCTGTTCCTAAATACTTCCACTTTCCAATTATACCACTTACAGCTGACCATGGAATATCTAGAAGGGATGAAATTTCACGAACTGACTTATTGCAAAGGTGGCATCCTATCACAGTACCACAGTTGAATTCACTGAGCTCTTCAGAACGACCCATTTTTTCCACAAATGTTTGTAAATGCAGGCCAGGTGCTTGATTTTATACACCTGTGGCAATGGGTCTGATTGAAAAACCTGTATTCAATAATTAAGAGTTGTGTCCTAATACTTTTGTCCATATAGTGTATATATTATTTGTCCATATAGTGTATATATTATTTGTTAATAATGGTAATGGATGTAAGGAATGGCAGTTATCTGAGACACAGACACAGAAACATGAAGAGTACCTGGAGAAAGACCTCATCTGTAAGAACACCATCAAAGGAAGGACTTTGATAGAGAGGCTCTGTCATTCTAATCGCAACACCCCTGAGTGACAGAAACACACACACACATCCACATGTTAAAGCGAACTGGCTTTCAACATGGTAAAAAGAGAACTTGACTCACTTGATAGGTCCATCTGAGCAGAATAATTCTGAGCGATCCACCTCAGAAATTCCATTACCCAGAAATACCTTCTTTCCCCTGAACTCTTTGGCTCCCCGTGTGCACTTCCCCTCAACATCAGAGAACACAGACACCACGTCACCCACTTTCATGTCTGAGAAACACACAAAGGCAGACAGATGGATGCAGCGAGGAAAACACATTTAACATTTTATTCAATCAAAATTTAGGTGTTCCCAAACTAACGAATTCTATGGCCCTCCAAAAATTGGGGATAAACGGGCGGCTCACACTAGATTATTAATTATTTATCAAAAGAAGCTAGTATTGATACTTAGGCCACGTTCACACAGCAGCAGAATGCAGTTGTAAGCCCTGTATTTGAGTCCTTAATATGGTTACTTAAAGTTATTTACAGGATGACAACCGCATTCAACCAAACTCACATCCGTAAATTTTCAGGACTCACAACCGCATTCTGGGAAAACTTGGTCTGTGTGAATGGAAACGGACTGGACAACTAGGTGTCATAATCAAAATATTCAAGCAAATATCCAGTGTTATGTTGATAAAGTGGACAAAGCATAAAAACAAAAAAATGCCCTCAGAATATTAAGCAAGCATGATTGCTTTCAAGCAACTTGCCAACTAAAATCTACACCAGATCTAAATATTTTTGAGCCACTTTAGAGTATTTTGGAGGAGCAAGTCAGAAAACGTTTTCCTCCACCACCATCACATAGTGACCTTGCCACTGTTCTGGAAGAGGAAGGGCTCAAAATCCCTCTGGCCACTGTGCAGGACTTGTATCTGTCATTCCCAAGACAAATTGATGCTGTATTGACTGCAAAAGAGGCCCTACACCATACTAATAAATTATTGTGGTCTAAATGGTTTCAGTTTCCAGCCCCTGAATATTACTCATTGTTAGTTCAAGTTTAGTCTCAGCCTCAGACGTCACGCCCACGGAACGTTGGCTAAACGTCTGATGCATACGGTACACTTAACTGGAAACACTTCAGGAATGTCGAAGTCGTCATCTGATTGGTTGAATTTTATCGGATTTCCGGGGGGCGTGAGTGTCGCGTTTATTTTTGGTCCGCCGGGAAACAAAGCGCAGACGTGTGATTGCGGAAGGAAAAACTGTTATGTTTACATGAGTGACAATGAGCATTTATAAAGATCAGCTAAACGTAGGATTCTCAAAAGTATGCGAGGTTCACGGCATAGACTCTTGAAGTTTTCTTCTCCTTCTTTCATTTTCTATGCTGACTGACTTGTTGCATGCTGGTCTGTTGTTGTGGGGACATTTCCACGCCCCGAAACGTGACGCTGAACGAAACGAACTGTAATTGGTTCTTTGACATGTCGGTCAAACAGCCTTATGGGCGGGCCTTGGCCAAAGAAAGCTGCTATGAATTCCAGACCTTCAGCCGTCAGTCTGAAGGTCTGGCTACGCGAGACTAGTTCAAGTTAGTCAATGCATTAACTCATGTTAAAGCAACACCAAGGAACTTTTCCTCTGCGGTCGCCCTACAGGTTGGAAGCGGAATTGTCCATTACTGCTGTCGTAAATAATTTAGCCTACCGCTAAATGTCACACGCGCACGCTCGCTGTTTATCCAGCACCGGCTTTGGAATCAACAATGGCAGACATCCCAACCTGCAAGAAGTCATTTCAGGGAGGTATATTGACTGGGGGAGGGGGGAGGGGGGGGGGGTTACTAGCTTTCGTGAGGCACATTCGCAAGGTCTCTCGCTCTCTCCCTCTCTGCCGTGGTGTGTATAAAAGCGATACACACCACGTCAGGCTATGGCAGACGTGTCATTTAACCTATTGTAAGTCGATGTACCATCACAAGGGTCTTGGAAATATATTATGAAGGTTGGAAAAACTACATAGTGTTACTTTAACAAATGCGACCATATTTATTGTAGTGTTACCAATAATACTAAGTACATTATAAAGATGCAAAGTGACATGTGTATGTGCTACTCACACTTTGGCGTGCTGAGGATGCCAGGCGTGAAAACGTTAGCACCTCGAAGAACAGCATTGCCACACTGAGCGCCAACTATAACTTCAGAGGCCAGCAAATCCACATGCCTGCAGAACAAGGTTGACAGAAGCATGCACATAAATGAAGAGACACTATAGTTAGTTAGGGGCCGTTCACACAGAATGCGTTTTTCCATTCCACCGACCTACTTTTCCATTGTTTTTCTATGTAAACACGAGCTACATGGACATGTTTGACTGTTGCTCTGGCATCTCGAGTCTTTTGCGGTGTCTCACACATGACACAGCATTCTAAAAACAGGGAGCTCAAGTTAAAATAAGTTCTAACGCGTCTCTAGACCTTGCTTTTTTCGTTCAATTGACCTGCGTCTCATGGTTAACGCGTTCTGTGTGAATAGCCCCTCAAGCTTCTGAGAGAAAAGATGTCAATAATCAGTTTATCATCATCTCAGACCTTAAATACAACTTCTATTTAAAAAGCAATAAGAGTAAGACAGATAATACAAGCATTTTCTAATATTCCACTACATTCTCAGCATACCTAGGGCCGTGGACTGGAAGCAGTAGAACATCTGGAAGCTGTGGGTGAGTGTAAACAGCTGGACCTCTTTTCTGCTGCAAAGAGACATCACATTGAGATCATTAAAAAAAGGTCCTGAAAATCATTCAGAATCAAATATATTTAAACATACATTGCAATCAACACTTCACTTTAAACTCACGTTTAAAGCTACACGGATTGATTCACAGCACCATACAGTGAGACCCCAAAAAGTATTCATATGTAACTTTGTTACTTAATGTAATTACTTTTAACCAACCAAAGTGATTTTTTAGATATTTAAATATTTGCATGTTCATGGTTCTCTGATGTCAGTTATTTGGTCACATGACGTGCTGGTAAACAAATAAAATATTTAATCTTTATTAGCATGTTTTATTTTATTTGGTTGACTAAAAGATTAACTTATAGTACAGGGCTCTTTTTAGCTGTGATAGTATCTCACAATTCTGATTTTTTTTTCAGAATTGTGAGTTTATTCACAATATATCACAATTCTATGAAAAAATAAGTAAGAATTGCGACCTTTTATTCATAATTGCGAGTTTATATCTTGCAATCCAGCCTGTTTTCCTCAAAGTTGCGAATTTACATCTCACAATTTTGACTTTTTATCCTCCGAATTCTGAGTTTACATCTGACAATTCTTTATTTTTTCACAACAAATTAACAAAAAAAAAGGTAATTGCGACTTTATATCTCACATTTCAGACATTTCTTCTCATAATTGGGAGTTTATACCTAGCAATTCTGACTTTTTTTCTCAGAATTGATTTAAAAAGACGCAAATACAAGCTTCCATATTAAGACGACATCTGTATGCAGTGTTGGGGAGTAACTAGTCTCGCGTAGCCAGACCTTCAGACTGACGGCTGAAGGTCTGGAACTCATAGCAGCTTTAACAGCCATAACAGCCCATAAGGCCGTTTGACCGACATGTCAAACAACCAATTACAGTTCGTTTCGTTCAGCGTCACGTGGAAATGTCCCCACAACAACAGACCGGCGTGCAACAAGTCAGTCAGCATAGAAAATCAAAGGAGGAGAAGAAAACCGAACACAACACTGAATCGGCCAGCTGCGATGTCAGCGTCTGTTGTTTCATGTTTGCCCGCAAACGCGGCTGATATCCCCTTCACAGTTAGGTATTTCACTTGATCTTCCATAATAGATCATAGCTGTCAACATTGAACATTGAATATAAGGGAGATTTCCCGGAATCCATCCCCAAAATAAGGGATTTTTTCTTACCCACCACAAACTAAAAATAAAGCACTAATCATTAAAAGTCTAAAGAGTTTATAACTACAAATGAGTGAGAGAGAAAGAGACAGTGTGTGTGTGTATTAGAGAAAGTGTGTCATTTTTTATCAGAGAATGTTTAAATACTAATATCAGTTTACGAGGGAAACGGTACGTGGTGCTTCGGGGGCTGCTGGAGATGATTAGGGAGAGGTCAGTGCTCCTTTACCGATCAAAGCGCGCGCTGACACGGAGTATAATTGTTTATACTTGACGCGTCCGCACGAGCGCGGCAAAGATTACGCGTTGGGTGCGCAAGACCGGCAAGACCCCATTTCGCTTGGCTGTGTGCACAGCTTTTTTTGTAACAGCGCGCGCGGCGCCGCATCCGAGGATGAACGACTTCAAGCCGAATCTGCCCGAGCATGTCTCACACAATCAGAGCGTAAAAATACGGGATATTTTACGGGAAAATAATAAAACGGGAAGACAGCGGGAAAAGAGCTAAAATACGCGAGAAACCCGGAAAAACGGGTGTGTAATAGATAGGAGGGGACACACAACTAGTAAAGTTGGATCTGCTGGGAATCCTTATAAATGCTGACAAAGGGTCGGCCAGGCTTGGAAAATAATACTCTTCCCAAATCCCGTCGGCAAACAGGCTAAAATATTTCTTTTTGTCTCCACTAAGTGCCTCAAACAAAACTCCTGGACATCTCTTAAAGAGTCTACGCCGTGAACCTCGCATACTTTTGAGAATCCTACGTTTAGCTGATCTTGATAAATGCTCATTGTCACTCATGTAAACACAACAGTTTTTCTTCCGCAATCACACGTCTGCGCTTTGTTTCCCGGCGGACCGAAAATAAACGCGACACTCGCACCCCCCGGAAATCCGATAAAATTCAACCAATCAGATGACGACTTCGACATTCCTGAAGTGTTTCCAGTTAAGTGTACCATATGCATCAGACGTTTAGCCAACGTTCCGTGGGCGTGACGTCTGAGGCTGAGACTAGGGAGTAACTAATTACATGTAACGGAGTTACATAATTTAATTACAAAATAAATGTAACTGTAATCTGTTACAGTTACTGAGAAAAAATGTGTAATTAAATTAGTTACTTATGAAAATGTTAACGATTACAAAGGATGTTACATCTGAATATTTTCTGTAAAAAGCTAGGATATGTTGAATAATATTAATTTGTGGCTTTGCCTGTTTTTGATGTGCACGATCCCTTCAGCCATTTAAAGGCCGTTTAGTAAAGCGATGCTGTTCAGATGCTTTTGATTGGTTATCTTGTTTGAATTTGCAGCACCACATCTGCCAATTATATCAATCCACGTCGCCACTGAAAGCTTCAGGCTACAACCTGTCTGAGAGTTGCCACCATGGCAAGTGATAAAAATGCGTTTCAGCGCTGGAAATTAGAGAAGTAATGAAAAAGTAATCAAATGTAATCAGTTACATTACTTTAATACAGTAGTTTAAATAGTTACACTACTTATTACATTTTAAATAGGGTAGCTTGTAATCTGTAACCCATTACATACATTTCCAGTAACCTTCCCAACACTGTCTGTATGTGCACATACAAACACACACAGACCTGTTCTAAATGTTGCTCCAGTCTATGCTGAATCTCCTGTAGTGGATGCAGGTGTGTGCTGGCTCTCAGACAGGTGAACAAGGGTGGATGAGACAGACATGACAGGAGAGCTTCAAACACCTCATCTTTATCAAGCTCAGACACCACCTAAAACCAAACACACAAGAAAAGATATGAGAACCGACATGTCACTGTCTTTTTAAATGGCATATTGTAAACTTTGCCCGTCATAAGGAAGAGCATTTCGATAACACTTTATTCTAAGGTGACGTACACATGTATTTACTATAGTAATAATAGTAAATTATGCATAATTGCAAGCAACTGACCCTAAACCAAACCCTAACCCTACAGTAAGTACAGTAGTAGTATAGTAGTTAATTAATATTACTCATTACTTTGTGTAATTACACTGTAAGAACGTCATCATAAAATAAAGTGTGACCAACATTTCCATATAACTCATTTGGGATGAACAACAACAATTTGCTTGACCTTAAAGGTCAATTAACATGAATTTGAGTTAAAGTGCCAACCTCTTTACTTGGATAAACATTGCAAAGATGTTCTCGCACTTCAGACTTCATGGAAAGCTGAGGGAAAACTGACATCGTGTCTCATGTGGGGAAACATAAAAAGACATTAGTATTAGTTTTAAAACAACTATAAGTCAATCAGTCCTACAGTCTTCCACATTGCCATGCAATAAAAACTTACAGTACACGGGTTCCTGTGTTCAAAAACAACTGCCGTAGATAGAAATCAACAGGAAGCAAGGGTCTCGAGAACAGTAAATAAAGACCACGTGCGAGCTATGTTTGCGGTATTTCAAAGAAACACATGAAAACCGTGTTTTGACTCAGCCAGTTGTGTATGTTTCTTAAACAAAAGGACATACGTTCATATGAGTTTGAGCTCTTACCGGCTAATTTTAACCATAAGTAAGCAGAATGTTTTTGTTGTTCTTCTTCTTTTTATTTTAACGCATTCGTGCATTCACATACCGCCACCTACTGTTTCCTTTGCAAAACCACTAGGAGTGAATATCAAAATATCAGGCTTCTTATATTGATTGGATCGATCCAGTCATGCGAGTTACCATTTTATAAATGGTAACCTTAACATCACCGGATACCAGCTCTCTTTCTTGCCTCATTATTCTAAGTTTTTTGGCAGAATAAAATATATTTTTCATATGTATGCTATTTAATAATGGGCTGATTAAAAATAATATTGTTGTGAATTGTAATAGGTACACCCACTTTATATATATATATACACACACACACACATGTATTTTAAGTACACACACACCTTTATACTTTAAATATAAAAAAATACAAGATAATATATATATATACTATAAAATACACTAGACTCAAAGATTTAAAATCCAAAAGTCGCTTAGACTTGGAGAAGCAATAAAACTCATTTAACTCCAGAATAATTATTTCAGATGAATGCATCTAAACACTGCACCATGCTTGCAAATGCATAATGAAAAACATAGTTAAAAATAACAATGCATAAGCCAACTGATTTGCTTGTCATTTGCTGTGCTTCATAAAGTTAGATACAGTCTTCTACCTTTGTTTTGGTCTGATTTTTTTAAATACATTTTGCTTCAAATCAAAGTTTACACTCTCAGATTATGTGAAAATGCTAAATGCAACTGCACATGAAAACAGGCTAAACAGTGACATTGTTCAGCATTATTTATTCATTCTTCGCAACAAGCCAATAAGCTAAGCTAATTGTCTGAACAGAATAATAAAACGATCATCAGCACTGCAATTATGACTGATTCATAATTACATCAAGTCCAAAAACAGTTATAAAAAAAAAAACACATCAAAATGTTTTAATATGAGAGATTTATTCAAAATACTTATTATCAGATGTAAAAACTCAGTTAGGCAATGAGATCAAATGCATCTAAATACATCAACATGTTCACATTTTTTACTGTCTGATTAAACAAAAACAAGACTGTCTTAGAGGTCTGAGATAACTTACCTGTGTGCGACTAGCTAAATGTAACTACAAAGTTACACTGTTAAAAAAAAAACTTAGACATGGACAAAATATATGAAAACATGATCCATTAGAGCCCTATACTTACAAAATACTTCCCCAATTAACAGTAAGGTGTGACAAATAAAGTGGAATTTGTTCCAGTTGGCATACACCTAAAAACAAAACACTGGCATGCTAACGTAAGAAAAACAACATTTAAACACCTCAAAACAAAAGAGATTTTGATAGCCCAAACCATGAGGATTTCAGTACTAGAGTGACACGACTTTATCTGTGATACCATATCATAACCCGTTCAAAATATGAGGTCTAGTGAGTGGTGAAGAGTGAACACATCATTTCCAGAGTTAAAGTTGGGTTCTCAAGGGGACAGCACGGGATTTCTCTAGCCTAAAAGGGATTTTTAAAACGGATGCAGGGTGTTTTTCGTTTGGTTTTTTTAATCGTCCTTGTCTTTGGCTCCATGTTTAAGAATACGGGTGAACTCCACGTAGTTGAAGTTGCTCTTTTTATCGATTGGCGCTTCTCTGAAGAGCTCATCGACTTCTTCATCTGTGAATCGATCGCCCATAGTGGTCAGAAGTTCTCTCAGATAGTCCTCCGGAATGAAGCCTACGGTGAGAAAAAAAAAGAAACAATCAAATGATCCTCTTGGTCCAGAGACAATCTGGTGATTTGGAAAGTCTCCAAGTGTGATTTCCTTTCCTCAGTGTTTTAATATTTTAGTTATGCAGTTTTGGAGATAAACTGAGTAAAATTCTTCACACTCGAAAAGATTTTGAGTAGTATCTGAATTGCATATAAAATTTCCATCAATTTGGAGTACAGTTAACACAAACAAACTAAAGGCCTCGAAATACTCACGACAAAGTTATTTTTCATTCAACGTTTAGGGGTAAAACAAAGTTCGAAATACATGAGCAGCGATATGCTGTTATCTTATCAAACATCTGACGCCGCCCGCACTGCTGAGAGCGACTGTTAGATGAATATGTAATAAAATACACACACAACAGGGCAAGCATTTTAATAAAGCATTAGAAAAGCATATGATCATCGAAACGAGTTCATGTTTGCTGGAGCTATGCGGGACTCCAGTGAAATCACATCACGTTTATACACTAGATAGCTTCAAATCAAGCAGCTTTACCATATTAAACATGAAAAACAATGTCAGTGTCTCGTTTCATCAGAACGTACAACTGCATTTTTCTACTATAAAGCAGCTCTCCAGTGTGTTCATGTCTTCACTCACAGACGTGTGACCTCGACCGACTGCACCGGCCACATGAACCAGAAAAGATTTTCACGTGAAAGAAGGCGGAGCCTTCCTAATATGTAATCGCCATGGACCAATAGTAGCACGAAGGTGTTTAGCAGCCGGAGCAAACTTTTCCGGAAAGTTCACTTTGGCAAGCTGTTTCGAACTCCCAAAATGAACTTTGTTTCTGCCTGATTTTGTTTGAAATGACATCACATCAGTTCCTTCTGTGATTTCGCTTGAAGTATATCGGGGCCTTAATAATCTTACCCCCGCTTTCACAGACAAGGCTTAAACTAATGCCGAGTTCAGACTGCACGATTTTAGCCCCGATTTTCGCTCGCCGACAGGTTTTGAGAAATCGCCGACAAATGCCCGAAATCACAGGCAAATCGGTGCTCGTTCACGCGAGTGACAATCACGCAGTGTGAATGAGCAAAGACGCGATCTGAGAGAATCGCCGACGAGTCGCCGACGCCTGTGAGATATTTGGCATGCTAAATATCTGGACCAGTCGGCGATTCACAATCCTGCTGTGTGAATGTGTTCTGACTGAACACTACATCGGCGATGACCGACAGCCAATGAGAGAGCAAGATACAGGAAAGAGGAGGAGGAGGAGTTATAGACCAGAATATCAGTATTTTAATAGATAGGCCTATATTTACAATTATATCAAACAGAAACAAAGCACAAACATTTGCATGACCAGCAGCAACAGCAGGACATTTGCAAAATTATTTATTTACCCCCAACTCTCTTTGCAAAACACAGTCCTTGCTCCCGCTCGTCTTCCCAACCATTTCCTGCATAAACTGTTTATTTTTTTCTTTTCATTTTCGCTACAAATCAGTGCACAGACAATTTGTAGGCTATCATTTTTAATAACAAATTCAGTGTCGGGCGAGAACTCCGGTCTCACGCACGCGTGATCTTCCGTTATTTCCTATCACTTCTCGCGTTTGTTTGGTTGTGAAACGTAGTTTGCGGACCAGGCAGAAGTTGTCGGCAATTCTTTCTTTTGTAAAGTCATGCAGTGTGAAACCTCCTGTCGCCGATCCATCGTGCAGTGTGAACACAGCAGCAACTGAATGTTACCCCAGATAGTCATGCAGTGTGATAACAGCAGTGACCCGATTATTTTGAAAATCGTGCAGTCTGAACTCGGCATTAGTCTCAGACTAAAATGCATATTTGAGCTGTTTAAATTAAAAGCAACTTGCACTGTCACATCAGTGTCATTGTTTTGTCTCAGGATGCACAACAGTAATGTTTTATAAAAACAGCACGTGTATAAAAGCTACTTAAATGTCCTAATTGAACTAAAACCTAATCCTGGCTTAATCTAAGCCGTCTGTGAAACCAGGCTTAAATGCGATGCATATTTGCCAGTCATTCATACATTACACGGATAAGATTTCTACAAATAGTACTTATAAACAATGCTTTTCAATGCACAATCACCTAGTTTATACATTTATCATCAATAATTCCAATTTGTTTCAATCTCATACATTTTAACTAACTGAATATTGCTTGTTCCACTTTAACCATGTTCATACTTTTAAACTCAATAAATGTGATTTTTTATTTACAATTAGCAATTTATGCGGATTCATGAAATTTAAATGCATTTTGAAAATGATTTTATGATCCAAACAAAATCAAATAGATGTAAAAAATAGTTAATAATAAACCATCACATTAAGTTTAAAATGCATACATCTTTAATTTTTTCTTTGAGTGCAGGAGCCAGCTGCAATATTTAGCAATTCATCCTAGCAAGGGACTCAGTGATGCAGAGCACAGTTGTAGCAGAAGTTGTGTTGCATAGATAGATTTGATGAGACAATCTTTTTACCTGTTCCTTCCTCGTCAAAGCAGGCAAATGCATTGCGAATGACTTCCTCTGGATCTGTGCCATTGAGCTTCTCTCCAAACATAGTGAGGAACATAGTGAAGTTTATAGGCCCAGGAGCTTCTGTCATCATCGCCTCCAAATAATCATCTGTTGGGTTCTTCCCTGAAAGACAGTGAAAAAACAGATTCATGCTATTAGGCTGTGAAACTACTCAGTCTACATAATTACTTGTTTGGCTTTTTAGATACAATATTTTTGTAAATTCACGCTTATACACACACACACACACACACACACACACACACATAATTATAGAAGATTTCGATCATATTGCCAAGCCCTATGAACAGTTTGTAATGTTATAAGCACTTTTATTTTATATCTAAGTGTGGTTTCCATGTCACTGCATTTAGATGCCATTACAGTGAGTTTAATAGTGCTCCAATGATGAGATGGTATAATACGACGGTTTCGTTTATTCACACAAAAAAAGAAATAAATTTTTTTTTTTTGTCTTTTTATTTGTTCAGTTGCCTATAATGTTTCTTTATTTTATTATTGACAGTTATTACTAGATAAAAAAAAATTTTTACTTGCTGAAGGGTAGATGTTGTTGCTTAAATGTATTTATATAAACATGAACATATAAATTATTAATAGGATATTTTCCACTGTGGTTGACTTGGTATCTGGGATTGGCATCCACAAATGAAATTATTGTGGGGTCAGAGGTCACTCTTCCACCGGAACTCTATTCTCTCGTGATCACGCGTACGGCCGTTGCTGGAAGCAAGTGATTATAGTTTATACGTTTTAAATATGGATATTTTTCTTTCAAAAACCCATTGCTTCTCTTCAGAATAGATTGGAGTCATATACATCTAGGATGGCTTGAGGGTGACTAAATTATGAGATCATTTTCATTTTTGGGTGAACTATTCCTTTGAGATGTTTTGTAATCTGGATCAATCCTTCAACAGTCATTAATAAGATAACTGTGCTATGCACGTATATCTCCGACATATTTAATCTTCAAAATGTCATCAGTTCCTCTCACATCTGCATTCTGGAGAATATATGATTTAACTGAAAACATTGAAATGGTTAATGAAACAACAGCAAGAATTGTAACCCATCAGGGGACTTTAAAGAGCATAGATAGTGGCCATCAATGCTATAAAATCTTACCAAGAGAAGCAAGCATGTCATGAAGATCCTCCTTATCAACAAAACCATCCCGGTTCTGGTCGATCATGTTGAATGCTTCCTTAAATTCCTGAATCTGTGACTGATCGAACATAGCGAAGACATTGGAAGTCGCACGCTGAGGGCGCTTCTTGGTGATCTTTGCCTTGGCACGTTTGCTCGACATTTTGGCTGTATTTGGTTTTTCCTACAAGCTTAAAAAAGACAAGACATATCACACAGATCCCCAAACACCACTAGATTATTTTGCAAAAGGAATTGTGCATTCAAAAAAGTTAAAGCAAACATGTCTTTTACTAATGATATAATAGTAACTCTTCCTTCTAAATGCTATATACCTTACATAAGCCTATTGGAAACATGAAAACACTAAGATGGTATCTTCTAAAAATGCCTACATATTTTTTGGCGTGCTGAGGCAAGTCCACTGCATTACAAAATGTATTTTCGACTTTCTTTATACTGGGAGCTAAAAGCTAAACTTTGATAAATATGTAAAAACAAAACAGGAAAGTTACAATTTCTGCTTAAACAACTTAATTTCAAAGGACAACGAAAACACCGTCGAAATAAAGAGTGCGGGAGGAGGCCGGGAGTCTTCTGTATCATCATCATCACAGCCTACATTTGTGACCCATTTGATTTATTTATAGCACATTAGTTACCGAATACAGATCCACTATTTACGGTGATGCTCAAAACAATTTTAGCCTAAATTTCGATGACAAGGTCAAAGTAACCATAACATGAGACAGGAAGCAAGCAAATGAACTTTAGTAGCTAATAGATTACATATTTCCCAATGTTAAACCAGCTTCTACTTCTAGTAGATAACATATTAGGCAATATATTTAAAGATTTTTAATCTGAACAGTCAGCAATTAGAGCACACGGTGGCTCGTTTAATCTCCCTGCTCGTAAAGGTTGTATTATTGACCGTTATGAAAATACATCGAATTTTAAAATGAAATGTTATAAACAATCTTTGCGAACGGTAACAACAGATCAAATAATTTACAAGAAAGAAAAATAAGCTTCTCACCGAACACCCGAAATCGACAGCTGCTTAGTTTCAACCACCGCCCAAACTTCCGGATTTCACTGTCGCTTCCGCAAGCCTCGACCAGACCAACACACAACTGTAAGGGTGTCCCGGGTGAAAGATAAAGACTAACGAAAACTGCAGTAACACGCACTAAACCGTAATGAATTTAATTTATTTAAAAAAAATCTTTTCAATTGCTAGACTTTTATTATGCGACTAAATTATTTAATCAAGTATGATAAATAACATGCTCTTCCCGTGCTTCTTCGGTGTTAGTTTCTCCAGACACGCCCACAGACACGTAATCGTTCTTAAACATGACCATATACGGTCTGAAATCATTTTTTTCCCCTGTTCAGCGTGAGCAGACGTAATATTTACTCCATTGTTTTACTAATTCGTTTTTTTGGTGTGATTTTGGAGACAGAAACATTTGCTTGTTATCACACAGACATGAACAACCTAAAAGTGATTCAAATTTTTTTTTAAATAACAATAGAAATATACCCTAAAAAAATACCCCAAAATCAGGGGTTTTCAAACTGGGGCCACACAACAAGTGGAAAGGTATGTGTAAAGGTTTAGAGAAAAGCAGTGTAAACATAAACAAAAATCATAAAAAAAGATTAAACTAATGAACTAAATAAACAAATAGCCTACATTTGATTTAAATGGATAAATAAACAAAATAAATATTAAAACAATAACATTTGTAAAATATACATATAAAAATGTATAGGCCTACATAAAACAAATAATACATTTAACAGTACAGTACTACAGAGAATAGACAAAAAATGTATGTAATGTAACACATTTGTAATATTTTTGTTCCATATTAATGGGTCTTTATCATAGACTGTAAAAAAAAGTCTTCATAGGCCTACTTGAAAATAAATTTCAATTCTACTGTATGACCACAAGAGAGCGTACTTGGCGTATATGTAGGCTTAGCTGGCCTACTCGCGCATGCCACACTTTTGAGAAGCCATTATGATATATTTTTCTGCCAAACTTTATTTTTCCAGTAGTCACACATTAGTTATTACATGCAAGGAGGCATTCAAAATTATGACCTATGAAAAAATATCCCTATAAATACATTTTTGAATAGGCTATACTTCAACACAGGGTTGAACATTATAAAAAACAATGAAATACTAGTGCGATTTATTGTATGACATCATGTTGAAGGCTTGTAGTTTCACTGCATATTTTCAGAAGAAGACGTAGCGCAGCAGCTGTGTTTAAACCCATGCTACAATCCCAGGGTCAGCCAAACGTGTGTTCTTCCAAACACTATCACAAAGCTTCTTTGATGAGGGACGAAAATACACAAGCATATTCATGACAACAACAGAGTCTCATAAACAGGCAGCTGGCCTGAACATGCACACACTTTTTCCAGGACGAGTATTCTCTTTTGGTTTGATTGGCATCAATATAACCGGAACTTCATGCATTCCCAGCTAACAGGAAACTTTCTCAGAACATTCTGTAAGGTTCTCTCAAAGTTTTGAATGAACATTCTTCCAGTAACATTAATAGAACGTTTGTTCAAAGTTATCTGGTCTTTGAACATGTTCTCAAAATGTTAGCTTAAATACATTAATTCATGATGGAATGTTTTTTTCCCCCAGAAACGGACATTCGTTCCTAAAGGTTTACAAACTTATAAAATTGAATGTTCCCTTAACATTTGTATAACCAAGAGAAAAAAAAAAAAAGAAAAAAAATTCAGATAAGCTGTGTTTGTAGTACACTATAAACCACAAACTGACTAGATCAAAAGCACGATCTGTCCACAAAACAGGCAAATGATCAAAACCATAAGCCAAACAATCCAGATAACAAAAGGTCAGAAAACAAAGGCAAACGGGGAAATCCGGAAAACCATGACACGAGAAAGAGTGCTCAGAAATGCAGTGTGACACATGCAGCAAGACTTCACAAAGAATGACTGAACACACAGGGCTTACTTAAAGGCTGGCCACACACTTGAAGATTTTAAGGCCGATTTTGAGCCTGATTTGCACCGCCCAACGATCTGGTGGGTGTGGCCCGATTTGAGGCTTGTCGTAACCGACTTTTTGTCCAAAAAATCCTCGAATGTGTGGTGTCATTACGATTATTTTACTGCTCCCGAGCCTATAAATCGTAAATATCAAACACGTTTTATATTAACGTCTCTTGATCGGGCTGACTCTGACGTGATACCCGCGATAGCCAGAGGCGGACAGAGTACACAGCTTCGTTACTTGAGTAAAAGTACAGATACCCCTTGCTAAATTTTACTCAAGTACAAGTAAAAGTACTACAGTCAGATGTCTACTTAAGTAAAAGTAAGTACTTGTTTTTAAAAGTACTTGAGTATCAAGAGTACAAGAGTCAATTTTCTAAATATTGCATTACTACTGCCACAGTGTCAAGTCAAGTCATCTTCATTTATATAGCGCTTTTAACAATGTAGATTGTTTCAAAGCGGCTTTACAGAGATAAACATATCATTTAAGGTAACAGAGATTGTTTTGGCTTTATAGCGATTCTTGAATAATGTTATTTTCCAGCTAAAGTTAGTTTTGATTGATTCACTTCCGGCGAAATGATCATTTGTTATTAAATTAGGGGCCGCTAAGACGACACCGTTCTCTCTAAACAGACTTTAAACGCGAACCTGTGATAAACGCTGTTTATCTATGTTCACATGCGCATTAAGAATTGATTCTATAGTTATGTGTGTTCGAATATACAGTATATGTGCAGGTTTGTAATTCCCTACAAACCATGCCTAAACAAACTACTTGTCTTTGACTATAAATTTGATACAGAATTTTATTTTATCACTTCGGGGTAGGTACGCGAACCGTGCTTACATATTTGTACAGAAATGTCCTACATGGAGTTATGAAAAATGTTAATGTTAATACCTTTGATAATCTAAAAGGAATTGAAAGTTAATTCAAGTCATTTTCATCTTTTTACCATGTTGCTTTATTTAAAATTTCTCACTTGCCCACAAGGCAATGCACAATGGCAACGCTCTGACAAACCTCTGCTAGAGTTTTAATGGATTTTTTGCGCACTCATTTGAACCTGTTTCGTCCATGGTTTCGTCTCTTATCTAAATCTGACCATGGAGTTTACTTTGCCGTCAGTTCAGAGCTGAAGGTGATTTGCTGATAGGCTGTCCCAATCAGTGGCGCCTGCACAATCCAATCACGTTTGAGAGGAAAACAGCAAATTGAGGGTTTCCGAGATTTTTCTTTTTTCCTTTTTTTAAAATTTTTTTTTAGAAGTAACGGGTACTCACGGTTATGGATAGAAATGTAGTGGAGTAAAGAGTACAATATTTGCCTCTCAAATGTACTTGAGTAAAGTCATGAGTAATCCCCAAAAATGATACTCAAGTAAAGTACAGATCCCTCAAAATTGTACTCAAGTACTGTACTCAAGTAAATGTACTCCGTTACTGTCCGGCTCTGGCGATAGCCAATGAGAGCGAGCAATGTCCCCTACCGGATGTTGCGTGCTTCTATAACTGAAACTTGGCTGCCACAAACATGCCATGAAAGTGGAGTATTGAGAAAGAAGATGGTCATCAGCCCCATCTGCTCCGCCGTAGGGATCTTCAGTTCCGCTGAGATGGTCTTCAGCTCCGTCAGCTCCGCTGTAGTGGTCCTCAGCTATACGCCTTGGTGGTCTTCTGCTTCTGATGTGTAGTCAAAATGTCCGGGACGGGTGTATGCTGTTTAAACGAGTCTACTAACCGATACGCTTGCTGTCTGGAGTTTTGACGAGTTTTATAGACTTGATATTGTTTCTTATTCAAAAGTGGTGAATAAGAGGATTTGTCGTGCAGGGTTGGTTATGTATTACAATAGCTGTATATAAAACAATAAAATTCTATGAACTCTATGTGTGTGTTATTTCTGGTTTTTTTTCTGTAGTCTAGCACCATTTATGCATAGACCTGCATGAGACACTGTCTGGTTGCCTCTGGGCCACTCCCCCTCTTTCTATTTATTTGTATCTCTCTATCTCTCTCTCTCTCTCTCTCTCTCTCTCTTTCACACACACACACACACACACACACACACACACACACACACACACACACACACACACACACACACACACACACACACACACACACACACACACACACACACACACACACACACACACACACACACACACACAAACAAACACACATTGTTTTTGGCATGTGTTGCATGTGACGGAGGATATTGTTAGTGCGAACCACAGCTGACATGAAGGCCTTTGAAAGGAAGAGAACCATAAGGTCAGAGGCTTACGAAGGTAATCTAACCATTTCTAAAATTCCATACCGGAAAAATCTAGTTTGCTTGTGTAATGTGAATGCATACAGCAGGCCCAAGAGGTATCTAGGATGCTGTCACTCTTGGTTCAATTGCTTGGTATAAAACTGAGTTCAGTTCCTTTCCCCTCCACATTTGCCTGCTGGTCTCTGAGCTCAATCGTAGTAGCTTGACTTGCAAAAACAAACCTCATAGTTCTCACACGTCAAGCAAGCACGGTTTCAACATGCACAAAAATCGGATTTAGACTGACAGTCTGAACTGAACCCAAAGATTTTAACTGCTTCATTTATATGGATTATTTTTTACAAGTTTTACAAAAATTACAAGTATTTTTTTTTTAGTTTTTGTTAACTTTTTGAAGCATCAAAATTTTAGTTGCGTAGACTTTCATTGGAGGGACATAATTCTCTCAGGTTTCATTAAAAATAGACTCTCTTCGTTTGTGTTTAAAAGATGAACAAAGGTCGAAACATTTTTACACTGTAAACAATGATTTTCTTACTTATGTTCTCCTGTACAAATGTCTAAACATTCTTAAATATATGAGACCCAAAATTAAGTCTTGTTTTCTGAAAAATGTTTCAAAATTAATAAAGAATATCTGCCAATGGGGTAAGAAAAATAACAATTCAAAGGGTAAAACAAGATTGCTATTGTAATGGGAACACATCAGTGATCACCAGGTTTGAATCCATATTAAATCACGCTAACTCATTGGCTGATGGCAGTAAAGTGACAGCCCAAAAATGGCCCAGCTTTTGGCTTCACTTAAGAGAGTTGGTGACCTGAATGGACTTTGATCCAGGAA